AAAGCGAAATTACTGAATAGCAAAATTGTTATGAGAGAATATTATCACGGAAATGCAAGAAAGACACGTTGACTGGCTACTTATCATTTTACTGTCTGTTAAAATACCCGTATGCATTCCCCTATTGTGGTTTACATGTCGCCGCCAACATGTGACAACGAGTCTACGCATCGTAGCGTAGGAAAATACATGTAAAGAACAAAATAATAAATATATAACGGCGAAAAGTACAATGGCACTTAAATCACGTAGCAGCTACGAAACGGTTACGATCTGCTACGAAAGCCTACGAAAGGCCTACGAAATTTATTTGAAACGTATTTTGCAATGTAATCCTCATTCGTTCGATTGGTGTACTCTATGATTGTAAGTGAGATTAAGTACATAATGTAGATACACTACGTAGTACATAATGTAGCATACTTCCTGCTACCTGCATTCCTGCGTCGCAATTCGGTATCTAGACTAAATACAGAATTAATCCGACATCAATCATCGAACCATTGAATAGCCGGATTTGCATTATTCGCAACATAGGTTCGAATTAGTTACTAATGGCTGAATTGGTATTCCTAGTTACTAATGGGATTGTATAGGTACGTACCTAGGAATACTTTCTGAAAGCTTCATTAATTAAGTTATTAATTGAAGTTAATTGCTCAATTCCATTTATACAAAAGTATTTCTATTGAAACTATTATAAAGAATATTTTAATCGAATATTTTATGTAAAGTCGATCGATAGCAATTATTTTAATAATCCTTTTCTAAGTAATTTTTATTATAGCTATTGTAGCACGATGCAGTTATTCCTAAGTGGCACTGCATTAATAATATCGTTTGAATAACCTTTGTAATAAGTCCGTAGTGCATAGGACACGGACGCAGTAGTGTTCCGCATGGAATGATCACAATGTACCTTTATTACGTGCAAATCTTGAAAATTATATTAATTAATAATGCAGCGCTTTGAGGCGTATTGCACTGGAACTAATGTTATTTTTGTAGTCTCAACTTTAAATGAAATAAAACCGTTTAAAATACCGACCATTTAAGCATTTATTTTTAGATAGTCTTAATTTTGCTGCAGCTCTTTGTAAAGCGATTGCCTTTGGTATCACAATACACAGCACAGACGCCCTTCAAACGACTACTAGACGGGAACAATGCTTTGAGTTTTACGTATTTGATCTAGGATGCCTTGAATAACTCCACAAATCAGCTAATGGCTAACAGAATCCTTTCAATTTGGCGTATTCAGGTAGCCCACAGACAAACTTTTAAGTGGTTTGTTTAGATCACTACATTTATAAAATGGCGACTGTTAAACTATATTCAACAAAAGAAGTTAAAGCCGAACACTCTAATAAAGCTATCGTAGTGAATTGAACTAGTTTTCAGAATATTATTATATTTGTGTTGTTCGTGGATTTTGTAGGCAGCCTACAGATTTACGAACTTCGATGCCCATTATTAAGTTGTAATAGAAAAGTCACGTTTTTATACAAACATTCGAAATTAAATTTTATTTCAAGTCTATTAATAAACGGTGTATTTAAGGTAACAAGTTATACCAGAAACCTTACAAGAAACACTGCAGGTTTCGACTTTTTCTTACAGAACTCTTTAGAAAAAGTTAACACAATGTACATTTGTAAGTCCATGGGCGGCGCTAATTACCATCAAGCGGTACGTCTGGTAGTTTACCTTATTCTCATAAAAATATTAAAACTCCTTCATATACCTAAGTACTAAGAGTTGAATAAACTGAATCAGCCATAAAACGTACAAAAGTGTATTCATAATTAAAAACAAACACAATGAAAAAACAAATGAAACAAAGTTGAAATCCTTCGTTTACGAATCAGTGGTTACACGCTTTTAAATCACCGGCAGGTTTGAAGTTGCATCAGGTAAAAAAAGCATACAAAATGCAACTTTGTGTACACTGACTAGAAATTTATATGTATCATGGGGTGGTGCAGCGTTGCGGCGGGGTGGTCGCGCATGCGCGAAACCGAGACCCGAGCCAACTCTTTGGAAGGCGCGGAACAGTACTGGCAGACGGACTTCAGCCCTTGTTGGAGTCAGTCGTGACTCAGGGTACCCGCGAGCGGCCGACCTTCTCGGCCAGCGTCTATCTTTCAATATCCGCGACTCTCTCTCTTACCTTTCCAACTTTAATTATTTTCTATTTAGTTACTTTATCATTTCTTTCTTTTTATTTTTCCATTACTTCAGACGTTTTTCTTTTTATTTTCGTACTATAACCGCTGCATTTGGACTTGGTAAGTTAAAGTAGGTGGTGACTGTCGATTAACTTTTGAAACATCACGCAACTGTTTTAAAAGTTAACTGTCAGCCATTATTACGTCCTTTTTGTAAAAGGTGATTCGTTTTTAACAACTGGTGTTCATTTAGGTTTCAACGTTCGACTTTTTTCCATTTCCATAATATTTATCACTTTGTGAACTTTTTATAGACTTCTAAAAAATCGAACTAGTGTCAATAAATACGTCTCGTTTTGAGAGGCTACTTAAAAAACTTGAATTAAGTTTATAGAATCAAAGGGTATTCAAATAAAGTTTCGTTTCGTCTTATGAACTCTAAGTAAAAGAAAGTTTTTTCCATATGAATTAATTTATTTTATAGGTTAGTACCGATAAAGTCTATATTTAATTTGTCAGGCTATCGTTGTTCCATATTTTAGGAGACTTAAGTTTTTTTTATATTTGATAATGCGTCTAGTGGACTATAATTACGATTCTACTGCGATCTGCTATTTTTACATGAATATATATTAATTGTGTAACTGGTCTAGACATAAATTGTTACACTTTCGAATCTCCCGTAAATTTTTGACAATATTCTTGCCGCGCATGAAGTTTCTACAGTTTTCGAAAATTTACAAAAGACAACTGTGCTAGCGTATATTAATTTGTACTGAAAAATATAACTGCCTTAAAATTTTTCAATAACTTAAGATATGTGATAAATATTTTTCTGTGGCCATACAACCGGTCGTTTTTAGTAAAACGTATTACGTAGTCATATCAATCTTCTACCATAATATTTTATTAGGCTATTGTTTAGAAAAATGCATACTTCTAGAATATAATTAGTAGCAGCACGGTGTTAATTATAGGAACTTTTAATAACAGAACACATGTCGTTTGTTTTGTTTATGGCAGTTGGTGTTTTACCATAGTTCAAAAATTATCCAATGACATTAATGAAAGAATGGCCACATTTTGTAAAATGTGAAGTTTTGATTAACTAGATATTTGCCATAGGATAGTAATTTCATCAAGTGATAGGAATTACTGATTTTATCACACAGTCAAATAATTACAAAAATTACATCTAAATTTTTAACAGACAACGTAAAGTAATGTGATAGACTAGTGTCTGGCAAATGTACGATTTTGTTTAGCGTTTATAACAAAGTCCGATATCTTTCCACCTACTTTTGCCGAGATGCGACCTTATTAACAAAGTTTCTTCGTAGCTAAATATGCCGTGAAAAACAAATTCCAACTTGTTGCTGTGATCAATTTACGGCTGGATCAGATAAACTAAATTGTTCTTATAATGTTCTATCAAGTTCATTGTTCTAATTACAATAATAGTAATATTATCTCCCATTCATTTTATTATTATTATTGAAATTATAACATTGACATTTTTAATGTTGATTTATTACTCAATTGTATTTTTGAACAACCTTTTTTGATTTCGTTTTTATGAATAATTAAAAAGTTGTTTGTATAATCCGGGTGCTACACCATTTAACTCATTCTGTATAACCTTCTGAACGTTTTCATATTGTGGTTAATAGTAACTACAATATGAAAACGTTCAGACAACAATATATTATAGAATATATTGTTATCTGTGTTTGCTATGGCGTTAATTATTGTTTTCATTTGTCCATGTAAGCTCTGTAATTATGTCTATGTTGTGCTTTCTATTTCGTGTTTAGTTTAGGTAGATATGTATGTATGATATAACTGCCTTTTGTTACTTTATTGTCGATATCGAATGACCACATGTCGTAAATTAACCGTGTATATTTCCAGAGGTATAATTGGAATTTCAAGTTTTGGCAAAATTAAATGTGGTTTTGCCATCAAAGTCGGCTTGTTATAGGTCATAATGTAGCTATCACAGCCAGCTTTGATGAGCATGACCCCATTCCTGACATCATTATGCGGACCTTCAAAGGGATTGTAGTAGTAGTGGGTCAATGGTTTCCCGGGCCTAGCCTGTCAAAGCGGCGGTGAAATGTATCCGTCATCATATCACAGCCACTTTGATGTGGTCGGTTTACGGAGAGCACCACGTCCTTACAGCACTGCCAGTAAGTAAGCAGGTCCGTGGCCCATTCGTAAAAATGGTTGTGCCATGTAGTCGACTCATATCACAGCCATTTTTGACGAGTTGGGCTGGGAGACGTTACGACGAGCGCGGTTCTACTGCCATCATGACACTGCAGCAGCACGCGGTACGCGAGTGCAGCGGCGCTCACAAAGTGGTTGTAATGTGTGTCTCACTACATATCACAGCCAGCTTTGATGAGCGCTGAGCATTATTTGCTTTCATCAGTGTAGTTGAGCGATATCAGCAACACATCAAGTACAAGAAGCGCGTCGAGGGGTCAGCAAAGTGGCTGTGTCTTATGAGGTCAATGAACATATCACAGCCAGCTTTGTTGACTTCTTTGTCGCGTATAATCATCATGAAGATCAAGATGATAGTTTTGTCTCTTCTTACATTCTTGATTTGTATGAATTTCATTCTTTACTGTGTTATGTTATGTTGGTATGTTTTGTTTCAGCCACAATGATTTTGTCTCTATATGTCTTCTCTATTTTATATTTCCGTATTCTCTCCTGTCTGTATTTCTTCTTGTTATTTTATGACACTTCATTTTTATGCATCATAATTCAAACTTTGTTGCAAGTAATGCAATTTACTAATATTTGCTTTATAATTTTCAGGTGGTGAATCTTCAGCTTCGTTTGCTTCTCAATCGAATGAAAAATTATGTAATTTCATAAGTAATTTAATTTGTTTTACATTGTTGAAGTTTTATGAAATAAATATATTGGTTTTATCTCTGTTGTTTCGTTTTTCCTATTACCTTATAATTGAATTTGCTAAATAGAGGGAAATTGTTTCTGATGTTCAATTAACATTTACATGGCTACTTGGCTAGTCGATAACGTGGTTAATAGTTTAGGTGGTTAAGTTCAGCGGATCAAGCCATTAGCGAGTGTGGGGGGTGGTTGCCACCCCCCAGTGTAGGCAGCGGCCAGTGCGCCCTGATAGCTAGATACCGATTTAATTCTCTCAGAGTGTATTCAACTTGGTAGTCCAAGTCACACTGCAATATAAGATTACTTGCGTTTACACTTCCATCCTCACTTTATAATAAAATGATTTCTAATTATCCTTGTAATATTTATTATGGAATTTTGATGGAAAAGAAATACTACCTACAAAACTTTTACAAGTACTATTTTCAAAACACACTTGAATCTATCCTGTAGAAGTTACAAATATAGTATGTATGTACTTACATTTTCTTAGGTACACAATACATCTATGAAAGTGATTAGAAAACGTTCTACAAGGACGAAAGTCAAGGCCTAGAAGCTAATAGCTTGCCTACGGTAGAATACAAACATGTGGTAAGCAGTACACAATGATGACGTACATACGGTCTAAGGGCGATGCTTCAGCCTTGATGAAAAAGTAAGTATGTAAGAATACCTATAAGAAATTAACCTTGAATAGTGTTTAGCTACCTTTATCACCCACCTATATGAGAAAATAATGGCCAGAAAGGTAACATTAATTGATTGAGATTCATTGTTCAATAAAATATCTAATAATATATATATATATATATATATATATATATATAATAATAAAATATCTAATATCTTGTTACGTTAGTAAGTCCCATGAAACTACTAAAAAGATCGTGCACCGGATACAATTTTAATCCAATTTCTCTTATTGCTGAGAAGTTCGAAAACAAAATAATACCAGACAATAGTTTTCTTGAAAATAGAACTTATTACGATAGCTAGAAAAGGTTCAACAGTCGTATTTACGACAAACGAGATTCTGTACCAACGAGACAGTAATAGAAGTAATGTTCTGTAAATAGAGGTATCAACAGCCACGTAAAGGAATCGTATCGTAATTAGACCCGCCGTAAGCGGGCGTGTAAAGCGTGCACAGCACACGGGCGCACGACCAGGGGGCGGCAAATCGAGCGACTCATTACCTAATATTCAAAATCATTGTCCACCGTGAGCAGAAAGCATAAGAAATATCTATCATCGCTTGGAAAAACCCAATCGACTCAGCGAGTAATATTAGCGCTATCGCTATTTATTGTCATCCGTTACTCTTAACGGATGACTGTAGATGGATTGTAGTGTTATTCTTAACACTAAGATGCAATACCAAACTTGGAATCATCCGCAAATTGTTCACTGCCTGATCACGTTGAGTGGCGCTCCAAATTCTATACAAGTTTTCAAGCCGGCTATACCCTTTAACCCAGTACTAGTTCAGTCAAGCCTAAATGTGAGTCATGAACTGGCAAGTTGTTTCCTCCTTCTGCGAGTCATGAACTGGCAAGTTGTTTCCTCCTTCTGCGAAACAGTTATGCAGTAGCTAAGGAGCAGTCGTCGCAGGAAACGCAGCATTGAGCAAATGTTGAACAGACTTACTGACTAAAAGTCACAATTTTATTCCTCTTTGTGTGTGTGTACTGACTAAAAGTCAGTAAGAGTTTATCACTCCCTCCCGAGGCTTTTAATGACTTTCCATCCACCTAAAAAAGGGGGTAGCATAATGCGTATTCGCACGCGGGCGCTCGTAAAGCTAGCGGCGGTGGAGCTGACCAGTCCCTATTGACAGCGGCCGTTCACGAATATGACACAACACCAGCACCGCCCTCCTCCGCCCACTCAATCAAATTGTAGGGAATCAAGCGATCTAATGCACGTGCCACCGCCAATGAAATCATTGAGTGTGCAAGACAACTCCAAGCCGACACAAATTCATTCTACTAGTCTAATTTAATAATAAGTTAATTACAGGGCTCTCACATTTACAATGTGAAGTTAAACACTATGCATTTTAGAAATATGGCTGTATTATTTTTGTATCCGACAGTCTTGCTAGATTATCTCGGTTTTGGGTAAAATCTAAAACATGATGATGCTGTTAGTACTATGTTTCACTGAGACACCATAGCTACGCGACTATCAGTTGCCGCTACCAACAAAATGTATACAGCTCTGTAGAGAGTTATTCAACTGGTATCCACTTGGTTCCGCAAACAATCTGCTTGCGCGACCAGCATTAGAGGTCCATTTTGATATTGTCAGAGTGTAATGTAGCGACGATGTATCTGTACAGTGTAGACACTGTTTACACTGTAGTTTGGTAGCTTATGGACCCCACGGTCGGTGGTGCGATGGTGCGACCAGTACCTAGCGCCATCATGGTGCCCTGGTGAAATATAGCCCTTAGGTACATCTCTTCATCACGGAGTTTCTGTCAAAAACTACGATTGATCTAGCGATTTCGGTTAAGAACGTTTATTATTTTCCGCTGTTCATTACATGACCTCTTCATGACTTCATGACTTCACTGTTCATCATGTGGATTCTATCCACCATGGGCGCAGCTTACTTAATCCACATTTTATAAAGATTAAGATAGTACTTCTTGTGATTTACAACTCCAATCAAGTCCTAAGGTTTTCATTAATAGCTATCCATACTCACACTCGATGTTTTTTCTAAATTGGTCGTTAATTTTGGGCTACCTCCTCGGGATTTTTAAATATTTTTGATTTTAATATTGTTTCAAGGTGTTATTTATTCGTGTATAAGATTAACGACAAAGTTCTATATCAAGTTTCATAGTTCTAAGTAATTGTTGTGATTTCTTAGGTAGTAACAAATAGGTAATATACAAAGGGTCTGTTAAAATAAGTATATAAAGTATGTTATGGATTTGTCTTCCGATGGACACGTGCCTATGCCACTTAAAGGTATTTTCTTCTTAAAGGTGCTTATGTTCGACAAAAAATAAACGATTTATCAATTCTCATAAAAAGGGGCTTATCATTACGATGCATATTTTTGATTCGTCAAGCTTTTAATGAGTAGATACCTGCCTAAGTCTCATAATGATCATGTAATTTATAGCTACTTGTTCCTTATATTTTCATGTGAGATCTGAGTTAATAAGGCTTACAGCCTCTCGAAATACAAACGAGTGGCTTGAACCCGTGCGTAGGTGTAGCTTAAAACAAAAAGCGAATAATGGGGGCTACGCCTGTTACCTAGCAACGCACCTCGATAAACTGTATCAGTGTTTTTTTCCATCATTAGTCTAAATATATCCGTACAGAAGAAAAATAAAATATCAGTTTCTTTGTAAACACTGCCTACTTATACTGATTATAATTAGTTCTTGACGTCACCAATTAACGAATAGGTACGTCTCATGTAACCAATACTTAATAAAACAATTCATTAGAGATGTAACTAAAAGTGGAATATTTCGATATATGAGAAGTTGGTTTCGCTTCAGGCGGCATTCATAAATGTATGAGTATATCCAGGCGACCACCTACATCCTAATTGCTTGAGGGCCCGCGGTGGAAACTCGAGAGTTGTTTAGACATTTTTGGGTTATTAGTAGCCCTTGTCATAACAATTCGTCACACTAATAATTGATACTGATCTCAAATATCCATTATTTCTTTTATTATTGCTGCTCTAATTAGGTTAAAAGTAAATAAAAATCTGTATGATTTTATCGTCAGGTAAATAGAACCCACTGTGGATACAAAGTAAATACCAGTCAGTCAGTAGGAACATTTTATAAATGATTCATTGTACTTCAATAAGCTAATGCACGGCCATTGTAAGGCAGTTACCGCCACTCTTTGTGCATTTCACTTCGAACAAATTTAATAAAATATTCCTTGTAAGTCATTGTATGCACTATGATGTCGCACGTTGTGCAGAGATATAGAGGTATAGCGTAGGTAAATGTAGATGATCATATCCACTAAAATCCTGGGTAAACTAAACTAAACTTCTGATATGCATGCAGCAGTAACTAAATTGGGGTATTTAGCCAATTAAGTTAGCTAAAATCTAATTAGATAGGTGCAGCTGTATCTCTCCATAAGGTACCTAATTCAATAAGACAAGTCTAGGAAATACTTAAGTCAAGATAGCTATTGTAATTTGGATGTCTAGTTCAGCTCTAAGTTCTCCATTAATCGCTTCTAGTTGTAGTTTGTTCTGAGGTTATTCTAATTTCCGTCTGGTAGATTACCTATTATTTAGAAACATTATACACGTATTTTTTATTTTCTTACGGAAACAAATACTTTCAACGACACTTCGCGTCACGTATCCCACTTCTAAAATTTGATTCATTTTTATCTAAGTATTGTCTTATATTTATTCAATACCTAACTGACGGACTAATTAGATTTTCAATATTCTTTCATCACTCACCATCCCTACTGGGAAAACTTAAAAAACTCATGGTCATTCCAAATTCCAACCCAATCCATTACTTTTAATATATCTTTATCGGGGTTGTATATCTCAATGGAGTCAAAAATTTAGTAATTTTTCGGCCAGCACCTCTGAATTTAGAAATATTTTTGATTTTACTAGATAACTAGGATATTTCTAAAACACCAAATAATGTGCATCTAGGTGGAAGTACAACCTCCCCACGTCTTGCTGTCAGCTCTAATGGATTAGGTATACAGTCGGAGACTGTTCTCAATTTGGATCGCCTATTGGACATTTGTTATCTACTCAGTCAGTAGTGATACGTCTCACATTGCTACGGCGCTACGGCGTAGGCGGGATGCTGCCTTTTCTTGACTTTAATTTCCAGATCGAATTTTTTTTTAAATTATGTAAGACCGATTGTAGCTGTAGTAATTCATATGCCACAATAGCCCTAACAGGTAGACTGGACGTCAACGGTCCATGATAAAATAATAAAATGTTCAAAGTCTAAAAGCTCCGTAGGCGTCTGTAGGCTCCGCCAATAATTTAAAACAAGTCTATAAAGGACCTGCTTATTTTTAAGAGACGTATTTGGACCTCCAGGCTGGCCTGTTATTCACAAACCTCTACAAGTTTTTTCTTGCAAGGCACAATTTTTTACAAACCACTCTTTATAAATCAGAATATTTTTATAAGTGGGTCCACTTCTGCCAAGGTCACTTTCCAATGTTATTCTGGGTTTGGATGCGATATGCGTATGACTGATCACTAATAGACAGACTGACTGACAGACAATTCAATTTGTCGTTGCGAAAGTCCTAATGAAGGATTAATTTAAATAAATGCTGAGTGACTGCTTGACCGATTCTATTTATAAAAGCACTCACAATACAGCAGAAATTCTCAACAGGCTATATTTTTTTTTATAAAAAAACAAACTTCATATTCAGTTCTCCTATTCATGATGGAATTAAGTCCGAATATTTAGATACTGTATGCCAGATTTTCTAACAAAAGCTGTCGTTTTGCATTTACCGACGTCGGCCGTCAACGTCAACGTCAATTCTCTCGCTGTGGCTGACTGTTAATCCAGGAAGCTGTGGGGTCTAAGCGCTAACTACCTACCTATAGGCTAGGTATTATTAACAATGCTTTTATACAATATTTGAACCAAATGTTACATTTGGGATGTTCGCAATTTTCCTAGAACTCTATCAGCAGATGAATTAATTAATTTTGTTGGTAATTAAGTAGATCCACTAGGTCATCATATAAAAGTTTTTAATATTTCTGTGATGTAAGTAGACTTCCTAAAGAGTAGGTACTTTCTTGTAACGACAAAGAGAATTTTGTGAATCGATCCACCGACATCCAGGGCTGATAACTGCACGGTTGGCGCGGTGGTTGGGCAACCGACTGTCGAGCAACGTGTTGCGGGTTTGATTCCGTTACGGACCAACTCTTTGTGTGATTCACAAATTGTTGTTTCGGGTCTCGGTATCATGTGTATGTGGAATTGTATGTTTATAAATGCACCCATAATACAGGAAAAAACCTAGTATGGGGCAACGTCTTATTTAAAAAAAAATGTAGGTAAAGAAAATCGGTGAATTTTGAAGTCTGATAAAAAAGTGGAACCTAAAATAGACTCCACTTTTTTATTGACTTGACTTTGCTGTCTTGTAACCAAACATGTTGAGCCTAGACATCAAACCATTGAAAAGGTTGATATGTCAATATTACAAATACATATCTAAGGTTCTTGATATTACGATTGACAACATCAAAGGCCTAGCCCTAGACAAACTTGAAATAGTACAAAGGAACTCTTGTTTTGTGCTGACAGAATGTTATTCTGTGACATCCAAAGCCGATGGCGAAATGTGACCTTTTCCGAAACTTGAAAGATGCCAGTGGTCGCTAGCGTGACTGCCAACGGACTGACTTTTTTTAATGTAACTGTTTTTTTAATCAAGCTTACTTTTTAATCAAGTTTAGGTACCTATTAAACTGTCAAACACCGCGAGGACACCGGTGACCGCAACCTATTGTTCTTTAATTGTGTCTATAATGACGGTATTCAAACGGTTACGCTTAGCGTAGGTATTAGAAAAGCTTTTTAAGGGACAGAATCAAGCAATGATTTTTCGTGCCATGGGCGTGAGTCAGGCAAGTGTGAACGTCATTCTCTTACTGACTATATAAATAATAAGCTTCCAGTCGAAGCCCCGGTAACCCGCTAGGTCGTTCGCAGCTAAGGGAAGTATTACAAAAATAGGTGTCATAATTGATAAGTTTGACATTATTGTTAATAAATAAATACTAGTCGTTGCATGTCATGCTGTGAGTACATACTTGTGGAAGCATCGTCTGCCATTTACAGTTTAAATTTGTTACTCTGTTGTGTATTGCGCTGTGTTTCTATTTTGTGTACCTAATAAATAAATATATAAATGACCCCTTTTACCTATTGATGACTGCTAGGTAGGTATGTACAATAAGATATAACACCAACTTTTAGCGAATATCCATGCGATACAGGTGTCATTAATGGAACAGAAAATTCGGCAAGTGCATCTACTGATTATTTATGTGGCCCCTAGGGTCGGGACATAGTGACAAGAAAATAAAAAGTACCTAGCACCTACTAAAGTATGTACGCAGGAATTAAGGGGTTTAATAGACCCTACAGATAGGTTTTGTTTTACTCTTGGTTGATACAATGGCAGGTACTGTATGTATCCTGGTACATTTTCATAGATGAACTGAAATGTCACCAATCGTTGTTTCTATTGTTTTTTTTTTTTACAAAAACGAGTTATCTTCTATACTACACACTTTATAAATAATATACACATATCTACTTCTTACTGTGTTATGAAGTTCTACTTCGAAAGAACATTAATGATTTTTAACCGACTTCCCAAAAAGGAGGAGGTTATCAATTCGGCGCTATGTTTTTTTTGCGTTTTTTATCTCGACAATGATTACGTCAAGGTTTATTAACCGATTTGAGTGATTATTTTTTGTTCGATGCGGAATAGCTGAAATTTGGTCCCATAATTTTTTTTTTCAGATTGGTTCAGTAGTTTTATTCTATGAGCATTTTAAGTATTTGAACGATGTCATTTTCATTCACGATACTTCGTAGATTTGTACATACGGCCACACATCAATCTATACAAAACCAGTTTATCCTGGTGTTGCGTCGCATCATCTTTCCGCACATTTAATGTTCAGTTTATACTGGTTATGTAAAGCTCGACGTGTAGCCGTGTGTACATCGATTACTCCAACATGGCTGGTCCGAATTGCGTGATTCACTTTTGTTCGTTATGGTATGCTTTAAAGTTGGTACTGTTGCCACCTGGTGATCCCCTAATGAAAAATCAGAGAACTATGTTTATTCTGACAATTTCATAAAGCCATCCAACTATTTGCTGATGATCATCATTTCATGTCCATGAGCTGATGATGGCATACCTTCTATAACAGTAACTCCTCAATGATTAGGAGTCCAAAGAAAATTCTTTCAAAAGTATACCTACATGGATCGAGAATACTTTTCTTTGAGGCTATAGGTAGACCTGTACATAGAAGAAAAATTTCTTTATGTTTAGATTTAAATAGATGCGATCAAATTTCACTTGTTTGTGTCTATGTTACTATTTATCTACACTTATTAAACAAAAACCAAAAAATAACTGTTATTCACTGTACTGCCTACCCAGTGATGGTCTAGAGGTCGGTGCCACAACCTGGTAACACAATATAACTTACCAATACTATACCTACGTAATTGTAAATACCTAACTTAATGAACATAGAGAATGCCATATTCATGACATATATATATTTTTTTAATGGGGGAATATCATCGAATGACTGCTCCCGCCTGGGTGAGGCGGGAGGGAGTGTCAGACTCTTACTGACTAAAAACCACCCCCTTCCTTCTCCTGTACGTCGAGCCGGAGCCCCGGTTACCCGTTAGGTTCTCCGCGACATATATTCATGACATTAAGTTCGCCTTATGTGCCCAAATCAAAGACTAAATAAATAAAAAAGCATAGGTACCTATCTACATTGGTTTTAGTGTAATTTTGTTCAGGACTTGAATGACCGAGTTCTAAACCATCAGTGGGTAGGCAGTACAATGTTTATGTGATGTGTTACATTTACTTTATGGTTTATTGTAGTTAAGGCATTTGTCGTAATAATTGTTACATAGGGCAAACATTTGATCACTTCTTAGAGCTACGTTTCAAGATGTAGGTCGCTTAGACGATGATTTTATTGACTGTTTGCTTAAAAATGTTTTCTCTGGTCCTTCGCCTTGCATCTATTTTAAATTCGAAAACGCTCTCGCTATTTCTCTTCATAATTCGTTTGTTTAGCTACAAATTTTGCCGACACGGAAGGGCAAAGCGCACTTGAGTGTTCAAATATGTGACAATAGCTTTATATGTCCGTGCCACACATGTGAACATGCTGGCACCGGCCTTTCTTTTCTTTAAGGGGGGAAAATCATCGCATTATTCTCCCGCCAGGGTGAGGCGGAAGGGTGTCAGACTCTTACTGACTAAAAACCACCCCGTTCTTTCTTCTGCACTTCGAGCCGGAGCCCCGGTAACCCGTTAGGTTCTCGGCATTGGCATCTTCTATTGGGCCCCATCCGTGGTCTGATGGCTCTTTGAGCTCGCGCGGAACGCCAAGTACTACAACTTATCTATGTCACCCATGAACGCACTTGTTTCATTGTGTGCACAGACAAAATAGGATCAGTGCCACACAGTGTGAACAATAAATATGTGAACGCACATGCCTGGCGAAATTATTTGCATATCATTTTTTTAGGTTGATCAATGCTATTAGTTTACAATACCTAGATAATTACACATTACCAGACCGGTAACAACAATTTGTGGTTTTGGTACACAGATAGGCAGTTGTTGCGTGCGGGAATTGAACCCACGACACATGTACAACTTCCGTTACTAAGATCACTGTACATTTAAATTGTATACACAATAACGGGATAATTAGGTGGGTAGGTACAAGGAGTGTGAAATAAAACAACAATTTGCTTTTAATTCCATTAACATTTATTGTGATTTAAACAACAATTCTTTGAAACCTCTACTCACTACGGTATACATGAAGAATAATTATGCAAGAACATCAATTTTTTTCTAATTTACTAAACGATTATAATATTCCATTATGTAACATATATCCCAAATCGTTTCGTCTCACTAGATAGAGGCCCATCATTTAATACCATCATCGAAGACAAATTACCATCTTGTACTTATATAGTTTTAAACATCAAGATACATAAATACACATATAGTTATAAGTTTACCACTACACATACACAGTGATCATGGAAGGATTAATCCAGTAAATGACTCATAAAATATTGAGTGATCAACGTCGTACAGCTATTTGAAGTTGAGTTTAAGAAAATATGTTTTTTTTTTATATAGAAATATATAAGTAATGTACATGATATTCCAACAAGTGATTGTGATAGATATATCGAAATATGCCTGAAAATATATTCCTTTATACGTACTAGAACGCCAATATAAGGCGCTGGTGCCCGTACTGACTAAAATGACGAAGTATAAACAGACTCGTCTTGTGAACTGATTTGTTTTTAATAACTCAACTGAAAATGGAAGTCGATCTACCCGGTACTAGCTCTAGCAGAAAAAGAACAGTCGATGCTGATAACAATGATGCAGAAATTTCTGACCCCAAAAGACCAAGAATTAACCTCGATAGTGCCACCAAAGAGAAGGTTTCCTTCTGAGCCCAAACCTAATGCTTCCGAGGAGCCTATCCTTCTCCGAGATATGATCCCTACTGTTTTTGTACAATAAGATAAATAAATCTTGTAATGTATACAGCCTTAGTCATAAGAAATGTTGTAACATTATAACGGAGTACTTGCTTAAATTAAATCATAATGACACAGAAAAACTTTTAGATGTACTGACGTAGTTAATTAGTCTTTAAGGTCAATTAATTTAAGTAGGTCACATACATAGATTAATTTGTTGTAAAATTTCTAAATTTTATTTAAGTAGGTGATAATACAAACCTGTATAGATTTAACATGAATAGTAATAAAGTGATGGTTGCATAAACCTAGTTCAAGCAAATCGCGACAAATTTATTAGATTAGTTTTCGCGATTAGTATTAGTCCTATTATTTTTCTGTCCATAGTTTTAAGCAAAATAATGTATTATTATTATCTAGTTATTAGGCTAGCATAATTTTACTTTACTTTTTTACTTTAGTACTTGTGCGAAATCCAACCCTTATTCCGTTCATTTATATAATTGTAGAAGTTGATAAGTCCTAAAATATGTCAAGTTATATCAGGATTTTTTATATTAAGATTAGAATGTAATTAATGACCAAAATGACGTCCGTACAAAGACATCAGATGATTTTAACTTCGGAAAATGTCCGAGGACATGAACGCTGTTCCAATTTCATTTGACTAATAAAGTGCGTCATGTTCGTTTGGACGCAGTATTGGTCAATCTAATGACTAGTTAATAGAATTTACGTTATATTGGGAAAATATCTCAGTAGGTACGTTGCTTTAAAAAGCTCTCACTAGGTTTCAAATCACTCACTTTACTTGGCGATGCGGTTGCAAGATACAACCACACGACATATACCTACTTACGAGTAGTCGGTAACTCGTAAAAGCCCTCTCATATTACTGTCAGTGTCTGATTAGGTTTCTTTCAATTAGTTCTAGGCCATTATGAAAAAAGTAAACTCGCAAGAACACAATTGCTTTCATAGCTTGTATTGTGCGAATCAATTTCCTTATCATAAAAATTTTAACATTCGTAAATTCGTTCGGTTCCGTTCCTTAATTTATTCGTTATATTGTTGATACAAAAATAAATATTTGGGATAGGTTTTAATGTAAGATTTTAAGCCGGTCTCTACTTAGGCCGGTTACAGAAAACTTTATAAGGATTACGTAGAAAGGAGTAAATGTTACAAAAATAGTTGTTTGTATTGTTTTCGTTGAATTTGTTAATTTTAACAAAATCTAAACTATTAAGCAATTTCTAAGAGATAGCGTAGGATTACTTTTTTGGACGTAATAATTTACTGTTACACTGTTACATATACCAAAATATATCAACCGTAACGGGAGCAAGATTTTGATGACAAGTTTACAGATTTGCTATTTATAAAAATATATGTTTTTGACCTGATTTTTCCAAGAACGATTAGTATATTTTTATAAAATACTAATATTTTATGCAGAGTTTACTTTCATAATATAATTGCAGATATGAATATAGTCATATAGTTTCACTCTCTAGCACCAACAGGGCTCCAAGTTAATTTCTAAGTCACGTATATCTCACTATGTTTTGTATACTTCTTACATGTCGTTTACCCTAACGTTGCTCATTATATAATATTTTAAAGCCGGGGCAATGCTGGGAAGTTACAGCAGTCGCCACTAAGTTCGTATGGTAGGGCACCACCAACAATTTAAAATATTCATTAAAATATTTTTTCAATTCCTTCAACCCTAATTTTTTCTTTTGGCACGAAGTTTATATATATATATATTATAAATTTCGAAATATTATTATATCATGACGTATGAATGATTGAAGGTGTATAGCCACACGATTGGAACAACTTACTTGCCTTTTGGCTTTCTACGATTAAACATTATAAGATTATTTGAATTTCAACACCAATTCACTACTGAATAACAATTTGACTACGTAACACATGTCTACTCTACATTTTTTTTTATTTTTTTTTCATTTTATATTTACGGCAAAACATACTACTTTTAACACGAGTTCTAATAACATCAACATATTATGTCTCAACAATTCTTCATCAAGTCAAAATCTGTTTTCTGAGTAATGTAGGTATTAGGAGTATAGATTTATATATAAATATATTATCTGAATGTATGGATAGTTAGGGCCGGGGATGTGTTTGAACGGTAAGGCCAATCACGTATTATCCCGCTCCTTACACTCTAAATTCGATTTTAACATCGCACCTTGTAACCATTCCTTATTCGAACAATACCCTTAATGGTCACTTTACAGTCTAGATAGTTCCATTTAAAACTAAGCAAGGCCTCACCTTTTTTTTCGAAATGGAAGAGTAATGGATTCATTTTTCTAATATTATTTAAAGAGAATATATATTTTATATATCTAAGGATTTTTCGTATATGATCTTAGCATACTGTGCGCTTATCTGCATTCCCTTAGACATTAATATGTTGGTTAAACACTACTACATAAAGTACTTGCAAGTACAACATCGAGATAAAACGTGAAGGAATGTTTAGATTATAATATCTCCGTTACAGGAGTGGTAACATACAATATCATTGAAACATAGACAGGCCCACCTAAGGTGGGCTACAAACATTTTAGCTACACGTTACAATGTCTCTACGAAGACAACAACATTAAAAGATAAAAGGTAGTATCCTCCACGTTGATGCACGGATCTTATCCCTCACGGTACTCAAGAACGACCTGAACATTAATGTTTTCTTTAAGTATATTAATAAGATTAGAAACACTCATGCAAACATTTATGCGTCAAGCTAACGTTCTACTGTATTTTGTACGGTCACATCGATTTACATACAATACATTCATATTGGGAGGTTACAATGGAGGATTTACGATGGTAAACTTATAAAATGAACCAATAAAAGCAAAATAAAAAAATATAAATTAATAACAGAATTAGCAGATGGTGCCGTTTGATTAATATTCGTCTCAGTACGAATTGGGCCTTGAAATCCGTCATTACACATAGTAAATGGAATTCAAATTAAATGGGACGACATACTAATAGAAATCTTAAGGCTCATTGGTTTCCTGAGTAGAAACCTTTGTTTTAAATACGTAGAACATTACATACTAATTAATATATTATCTACAAATCGATATGTAAATGCTAGTGCATTTTACGTGTATATATTAGCAATTACAATTTAAATCTTATACCTAACTAGAGGCTTGTGTAAAGTCCTGTCAGAATTAAACTTAATAGAATTAAATCAGTCAGTGCAAGTTGCACGGGAGTCTAAAGCTAAATAGTAACGGGTAACATGTCACGTCAACATACATTGGGACACACATACAAATATCTAACAAAGAGACTTGAACAGCTATGGGCCACAAATGTGTATTGACTTAGAATTTAACTAAAAATACATACTTAACTTAAAGTAATGAAAACGGTTTGGTGGCAAAAGGAGTATTTTGTGGGAACTGTAGCACACAATTGTAGGGAGTTACAAAGCTCAGTGAACTGTTCGCTGGCGAAGTTGCATGGCTTTCCGACAGATGGCGTGATTTGACATTAACTGATAGCGCATCGTCTTTAGTATAACAATGCGATAAACAATTATGATTCGTATAGTATAGTAATTGTATTTGAATCATTATCACTGATGATTTAAAACAATGATGTTGACATGGAGAGGGAACGCAGAGCATTGTCTCTCGCTATAGACGCCGCACCGTAGTTAAAATAACTTTGTTCAAAGTGTATTGCACCTCACTGTACACGGGAAATCTGTGGGTTAATTACACCCATAGAGCCTACAATGCTCTGCGGATCCAGTATAGTAATGCCTTCATGGCGCTATTGCGGCTTCCACGTTTCTGTAGTGCGTCAGCAATGTTTTGCTGATACTCACACCAATGGATTCACTGATTTATGGCGCAAAAAAACCGCATCGTTCATCAGTCGCCTGCGTGGATGTCGCCATAGTATCCTGAGCTCCATAGCCGATAGACATGATTGTCCATTAATGTGGAAATTAGTGCAGCAGACTAAGTCCCTGCTAACTATTACCTATCAATATTGTGTCTGTTAATGTTAGTGATGATTATTTTCCTTATTTCTTATTTTCATATAATCATTTGGGTTCTGGGGAAAATTTCCAGGGGCATTGCCAATAGCACTCACCGCGTCGAAGGTTGCGAAGAGCGAAATGGCTTCCAGACATGGGAGCTAGCTGCTTCAATAGTGCGTCGTTAGTTACCCCTAACGACGCACTACCAAATTCGAACGAAACCGATATTGACTTAATTCTCAACCAAGATGTCCAACTAGATCTACGTCTGAAACAGGTGACGCCGAGAGAAATGAGAAGAAACCTAAAGTAACTGGCGCTAAAGAATAATAAAGCGCACTTATTGACAAGAAGGTTTTCGGAGAAGCATCCCGAGAACAAAATCATTTGTATACCTAGCAATGGTCTTCAATGCGATGTTGAGAATTGGGTACTGTCCAGATATGTGGAGAGTATCGTGTAAACTCGGGGAAGCCTATTCATATTTAACCTAACTCACATCCTACAATAAGTCTTTTACCTATAATGTCAAAGCTTTTGAGAAATATCTGTTACACAGAATGATGCGAGTCATAAAAGTAAAGGATATAATCCCGGATCCCTAGAGAAGGAATATTGTTCGTCAAATTTCCTTGATATCCAGCAAGCTTTTGATAAGAATGCGCCACCCGGAGGTGGAGGATCCTGTGGTGCCTGGTATACCGGCGTCGCGCAGATATGCATGAACTGCGCAGAGCAGCCACCTGCGCAAGCGCCAGACGAATACATCTGGCGCTTGCGCTGGCCGGACCATCGCCACATCAAAAATTCTGAATTTTGAATGGCGTCCTGGTGGCTTACTCTTGAATCCAATTCCGATCAATCGACATTGGTATTGTGAAATTTCGTACTCTTGAGTTGTAACACTAGCGCCCATTGCATCCGTATTGCGTGGATATTGAATGAACTAAATGGTATTGAATTCGGCTTTATATTCCGTACTCTGAATGCTATTTCAACAGCTACGATTGTGGTTGTATAGTTTTGACATTGAATAATTATTGAGATTTTATTGGATTGAAATTGTATTGACATTGAGATTGTTTTAAGAGTAAGGAACCTGGAGCCATCTCGCCTCCTATCAATATCGACAGGCCTGTCCGGTCGTATCACCCAGGCCTGCACGATTGCGGTTTCGAGGAATAGCTCCCGATTCAGATATCTTAGCGTCCAACGCGGGACACATCTTTATTGGCTGTTAGGACGCAACTCAAAGTTATCTCTGGACAACAACTTACTAATATATGAAACCGTTCTGAAACCTTTTTGGCTATATGGTATCTAACTGTGGGTGGCTGCTAGCACCTCTAACATAACTATAATGCAAAGCACCATTTCATTCAGGTTCATTAGGACAACAGAACTGCATGAAATATTAAACATGCCATTTATAAAAAAAAAAAAAGAAAACTATCCTGCCGAATCGGAGGATTAGTCAAATCCAAAGTCCGAACAATGGCATCCATTTTAGTGAACGGATTAAAAGAGCAAGAGAGCTGCCACCGAATCATGGTTGATGAGGCTCTCATGAATCACTTTGGGGCCATTGTGATGGCGGCCCGAATAACTCGGGCCAAGGAAGTTCTGCTGATTGGTGACATAAATCAACTTCCCTTCATTGACCGAGACAACCTCTTCCCCCTCATTTACAACCGCCCTACGCACGTCGCGGCTATTAGCCAAGAACTTCTCTGCACTCACAGAAACCCTATGGATGTGGCATATGCTCTCAGTACTGTGTACAGTGGCATATATTCGTCCGCGTCGGGTGTGAGATCCCTTGAGTTAAAAAGCTTCTCAGGGTCGCGAATACCCAAATCTCCTCCGAACACGTTATACCTGGTACACACTCAGGTAGAAAAGGAATCCCTTAAAAACCAGGGATACGGATCGGGTGTGGGATCACGCGTACTCACAATACACGAGGCTCAGGGGCTTTCGTACGCGGCAGTGGTTGTTGTGAATACAGCGGAGAAGAAACAGCGGATACACGACAGTGTATCGCACGCCGTGGTAGCTATATCCCGTCACACAAACAGCTGTGTTTACTACACGAATATCAGTGACGACGCGATCAGCAAATTAATCAGACGAGCGGTGGGTGAGAGTGAGCGGGGGATCCTGGACTATAACTTGAAAATGGCTATCAGCAACAGGGACATGGCGGTAGTGGGCGCTCTTTTGGGTGGGGAGGGCTCGCTGTAAGCTTAAATTGTGATGCAAGCGTAACATTAATATACCTTTATATTTGTGTGTGTTTAATAATGTTAAAATGTAGTAAATATAATGTAACGTAATGTAAATTTTATCAATAAGACTGACAAAATCCATTGGCACTACTGGAATCGGCTTACTGCTGCGTGAGCAGACGTCATGCATTCTTAAATGTTCTACAGTCGGTGACGCTGTGGACTGGGTCGCTCCGTTCCCTACGAAATGGTTGATCGGATCGATTGCTGGCCCTCACGTCATGCTCGTGAACGGGCGCCTTCTGCTGGAGCAGGTCGGCTCGCTCATCGCGCGTGTGGGCCGATCCAGTAAGGTTAATGTAAATGTAATAAAACATGTATTGTGTACATATAGATATTAGATTTAGACACAACCTTCTTTGTGAAAAAAAAAATGTGGTTAATGTAGCACGTAAGATTTTTGTAACAAGTAATTTTGACTGTAAAATATTAAAAGAAAATGTAATGGAATGACAAGGGCACGGACAAGAGTCCGTGGAGAATAAGAAATGTAAGATTTAAAAAAAAAAAAAAAGAGAAGAAATAGATACGTATACAGTCAAACACAAATTGAGACTGTCGAGGCAACCGAACTAGTTGGCGAGACAGCTCACTATTTCTGACACTATTCGCCGATTTGAAAACTGACGGGACATCTTTGACGGGATACCCTGATTTCGAGACAAGGACGAAGTAAGGCCTAGCTCCGATAGGAACTACGACCTGAATAATAACGGCATTTACCTCATTTGCTTATAGCCTACACGACTGATCGCAAAATTTACATTACGAAAAAAATCTAATTTCAATGTGATAAATATCAGTTGTTTGAATAAATAAAACTTTATTATTATCATTATATTTTGTACAAGTTTGATGCTAACGCCAAACGTCAATGTGAAGTCATATCGTCTAAGACAGCGAACAGTTCACTTCATTTATTAATTAATTTTCAATCACAGAATAATCACAATTACACATATATAAGAATACCTGCAAGACACAACGTGCGCTGAGAAGGGTTGCTGCTACTAGTGTAAAGGGTAAGACACATAGATACAAATAACTACTTCACAACAATTATGACAATAAATGCTGCGACGTAGCTTGGGTACGTACATTAAATGTGTTATAGCCGCACATCACGCAAGCGAAATCTTCATGTTTTATGCACGTATGTAGTTGCGCTGAAAGTTTATATCAGTTGAATTATAATCGGGAATAATGTATTAACGTAAGGGGATTTACTTCGCTTTTTGCGTCGTTAGATGCGCTAGACTGTTAGTTGACTTGCTAGACAATATTGTTACAGTAAATACACGCTGGATACAATTTTAATTAGTCTTCTATTTATTAACACAACCGTGTCATACGTTATTACAGAAAACAGTTACGTATTTTCTAATTAATAACTGACACTTTCAATTTCTAAGTTATTATCCAATTATTAAACATTATTCTAGAATACAGTCGATAAAATTTTATTCGCTTTTGAAAACTATTATTAAGAATTTTTATCATTCACGAAACAACAACATCTAGTAATCTAGTTAATGAGACCTACGTTTCGAATGCGCCAACTAATGATTATGAGAAAAACGGTAATAATGTGCTGGAGATTGACTATATAATGTTGATTGATTGCTTCGTGTTAAAAAAGTGATATTTCTTTCGTTTGCGTGACAAGCTATAACACGGGACGACATTCTGAGATCGGCGGGGTAACAAGCGCTATTGGAGTACGTGCAACGGTTAATATTGTTAAGTTCATTATTAACTATTTTACAAAAACTTAGTACACGGTAACCGTAGCACATACTACGCTAGACAATTTGAACTGTAATGACTTACTTACTACCACCAACACGAAAACACTGACACGAAAATAATTGAAAGTGACAATGCACAAATGAACAATGATTTCTTATGGTCTTGCAAATTAGGATACTTCTTATAAATAATAACTCTTAAATGGAGACGGTTCTACTGTATATTTAACAAAATACGTTGTAAAGGAGTGGTAAGCTACAGCAGTAGAATCTAATTCCGTTTAGTTGATAGGATGTCGAGATACACACGGGTGGCACGGGAAGTGAGATAATAGTATCATTGACTATTTGTGTATCCGTCTATACACGACGCTGTTTGTAGTTTCGTATCTACTAAACATTTTGTAAGACCATTCAAATCTATATATTCATTAGTTTTTGACATCGAGTACATAACTAAATAGATGGATGCAAAGAATACTCTTCTTGTTGATAAAGTAAATTGTCAAGATGATATTATTAAAATATCTTTGTTTAACATTTTTATACAACTGGTGACTCAAGCGCCATGGTAATAAGAATGACAGTAAGAGAAAGTGGACGGAGAAATGAGTGGTAGAATATAGCATGACACACATCGCTAATATAGAGATGTGCATGGAAAAATGAGATCAAAATGTAAAAAAATATATTTGTAACAAAATATACCCATTTATATAATTAGGTATGATTCACAGTCGGTATAGTTTACTCCTAAATTAATTATATTACATTATCTACCGACTGTTACGTCACTTCATAACAACTGTAAAATCAAACAATTGTTAGATAAATCAAGATATATTTGAGTCATCGTTTATTAGTGGGTCAATAGTCGACTACAAGGTTATGTACTCGATGCTGGCTAGGCCAGAGAGGGACAACAACACACATATAGTATAGGCACGTGTGACAAGCAGCCAGTGGCCTAGAGATATCTTACATATGCAATGTCGCATTCATCGCTAGGGTAGTCGGAAGCTGGTATGGAGGGGGACCAGACGGAGCTCAGGTTGGAGGACGACGATGACCCGGCCGGCGTTGGCGGGTTTCTCCTGCGGCGGTTGAAGGGCGGCGTCGGCGAGCCCTTGAACGTGACCGTGTTGGTCAGCTCGCTGCTGGACGACGCGTCCGCGTCCCCATGTCATGTACTCTCCATACGGATCCGCAAGATGGCGGCGCGGCACATTGGGCACTCCTTCAGCTGAGAAGTGCAGACCGAGCAGAAGCCCCTGGAACATTACAATATCATGTCAATACTAGTTGGAGCAATAAACACAAATTTATATAAAATGCACCAACAAATTATAATTCAACTATAACATACAAACCTATAACTTCACACAACATTCTAAATTAGAAAACGAAATATATATACTATACAATCCTTTACAATTATGTTAATGTAATAGACCCTAATCGACGAGTACGCATGAAGGAGATTGATGAATGTAGATGAAGCAAAAGGAGGTATACCATAATAGTGTCATTTGGCGTTCCATTGTCTCCGTCTACTCTAATGGGAGACAGGCGTGACATTACGTATACAGGTATGTATTAGTTGACGGTAGCTACCTATGCTGGCAGGGCTCCAGAATGCAGCAAGAGTCAGCGTCGAAGCACAAGGTGCAAGCGTTCTCCTTTACGGCAGTGGCGCGGAGCAGCTCCAGGGTGATGCGACGAGGCACAACCTAAACGACACAATATTAATGAGCAATCAATCCATAAACAGAAATAGCAACTGCAATAGTTACCTACTTTTAATCTTTATTAAAATATATTAAGTTCAGAATTTTATTTGAATAAAGAGATCCCACTTTCCTTCTTAAGTCAACTCTAGTCGACGATCATTAAGGTATATTTTCAATCAGAAATGATGATATATAATTATATAAATTGGCTAAAAGTATGCCTACTTATGCGTTGAGATAAAATGGAAGAACGTACCTCAGTTACCGAGGAATTAAGTAATTTATGCAAGATAATGTGTATATATAAAATACTTACCCTTTTCTGTTCATCGGATAGAGATCCGTGCTCATTAAAGATCTTGAATGGGCGGTTAGGAGGGTAACGGAAGTGCTCAACGCCGAAGTTGAATCGGCATTGCTGGAACGCCATGAACGATGCCGCAGCGAAGAACCCTTGACTGCGTTGTTTAAGGTCAACATTATTAGAACTAAAACACTAGAGCCATTGCAAACACCCATAGCGTTAGTAATAAAAGCAGCAGTTAGTAAATTGCATTATAGAGTTGCGCTGTGAGTAGAAAACCTTTGTCACTATCTCTAGCCGTCCTGCTGGTATCATAATGTAACTACATAAACATACATCCATACAATCTGCTGTCCGCAGCAATATTCTCTGATAAACCATTTGAATTACAATTTCCAACCCACCTGGCAAATAAGGATAGTATGGCAAACTCCTCTTTAGTAGAGGATGCCCAAAATTCAGTACTGAACTCTAACAGTATATAATACAGTCCATAATTCAGTGGTGAATTAGTGGTAGTAGTGGATCCAAGGCTATTATTTTAAGATTGAAAGCTGTTACGGTAACTTTACATAATTATATGCCAGATATTGCTTTTTTGACATTGAGGGCAATGTCAAAAAAGCAAATTTATACTAAAAACCCTCCTATTCTTTTTGTAAATTCGAAAATGTTGTCGTTTTAAAACTTTTAGTTTCATTTACACATTATAATGTTTTAAGCGTCCAGAGTCTCATTAAGAGTTTATTGCAAATATTGTCGCTAAATTAATTATGCATTACGTTTGACGTCTGGTACACGATAATGAGCAGACATTGCGCCATATATGACAAGGCGAGTATCGAACAGCCAACAATTTCTCACGTTCACCAGATTTAAAACGCGCCATTGATATAAATACAATAACCATCATCCAAGCTAAGCAAAGAAAGCTTAACAAATTAAAAATATAAATACCGAGACACTTTAAAGAGGTGCGTGCAGGTTCGGACGTGGACTCCATTTACTGTAAAGATTGCTTCTTCTGCATCCATATCAATGAGGCACCCCACTATGTCTCCAGGGCGCCATCCTTGCACGTCAGGCACAGGAGTAGGCTTGGCCCCATGCCATATCAAGCGACGGCAACCGTCGTACGACAGAGAGTAAATATCATCTCCAATACCGTAGCCCTCCTGTATTAAAAATGATTGTTTTAATAGTTTGTTAATTTATGATGGTTTGGGTACACAACATTTAACATCGATACTGGTCTTTAACAAAAAATAAGAGTGTTTGTTGTGTAAGTCATGATATTGTTATTTATTTTTTTAAATGGTTCGGCATATTATTTTGACATTATATATTCCTGTAATATTTTCTTATAACAAATCACAAATGCCATGGTCTGCAACCAGCATATAATTGTGTGGAAACCTTCTACCCATTTATAATTAGATGTAGAGGTATATAAGTGTAAGCAGTGAAAGAATAAAGAAAAAATTGTCTTCAAACATTTCAATTGAAATATAGCATTGTATTAGTCCAAATCCACAACTTAATTGTATGGAACAATACTTATAGTACAAAAGTATGTTATTGAATATATTTCATACTAAGACTATCTAGACACCACTGACAAAAGACTTTCTAATTATAAGTTTCAAATTGCCAACCCGCATTGAGCAAGCATGGTGATTAATGCTCAAACTTTCTCCGTGCGAGATAGAGGCCTATGGTCAGCAGTCGCCACCTATAGGCGGTTGATGTGATACTATAGTTTAAGTTCAATTATACTAGCCTTCTTTAAATGTACTGTGTTTTGTTTAAAATAAAAACAAAAAGAGACCAGGGTGGTTTGAAAGCGCGTTGTGCGTGCATAAGGCAATTGGCTTAAACTATGCCTTTTATTTTAAGTTTAAGCAGTTGTATGCATACTTAAATGACTTAAACCAAAATTGTTTTCAAATTAGAAGTACCGATTGATTGTAGCCACAAAATATTTTCCAACTTTAGTTCTACCATAACTTTGTTACCATAATGTTATTTTATTTATATCTATTAATCTTATTAATCTTTTAAACTGCACACAAAACGCACTGTCAAAATGAACATATAATTGGGCCTAAACTCATTTGAACGTTCGCCAGCTTTGGACAGCAAAGGCTAAGTTACTTATATATGTTTGTTAGTAAACAGATAATAAAATAGTAAATTTTCCGTAGAAATTAGTTTAGTCCCTCTTGCCTGTATCCTATATTATTATGTTTTTAATGTTCTATCACATTTGTAGTTGTATTTATAGTACATAAGACGTCACACAACTGGTAAACTGGTCCTATTACTATAGCGATAGACGTTTCTTGGAAATATTTGTTCATAACATATTTTAATACTAAATAATTAAGTTTATTTCTTGAATACAGGAGACAGGCATGACAACTAAATGCCAAGCTAACATTTATAACATTTAACGTGAAATTGCCGTTTTAGGGAAATAAACAAATGTGTCTAAATAATAATATATTTCCATTTGGTCCTCTATTTCATTTCAAGTCATGTTGTCATATTTGACTTCTGTCTTCGTAACATGTTCATAAAGAGTTGATCTGCTTTGATGTCAAACTTTCTTACGTGGTTTCTCCGATGTCCGTTAATCTTTGATCAGTTTATTGTTCACTGACTTCATGTGTTTCTCATGTTTGACTTGAGATGATATTAGACATACCAGTACAAAGTTGTCATACCCTTATAAGAATACAAATCAGTGCTCACCTTTCCAAAATAAATACTCTCGATTTGATACAAATGTTTTGTCGTGACGATTTTCATATTCTGACTTACCTGTCATATCTTTACCATTTCTTTCATATGTCTAACTCTTTCGGACGAATAGACACAAATGAATATAATTTCACAAAACGGCAAGTTCGCGGTCTGACAACATTTATTTTGAAAACATCAAAAGCCGTGTAAGAATGAGAAAGGAAGATGATACAAGTTGAAGTGTCATGTAAACTAGAAGATACTACGTGTATTGTGTGTTATGTAGGGTGTGGCGTGCTAAATGTACAAACATGTCTCACTAGTAATAAAAGCAAATTATGTTACTAATTATAAACAAAAAAGTGCTCAACAAAAGTTTTGCACCGTACTGAAGGTAATAGTTACAATTATGTCTATCTTCTACATTGCTGGCTGTTACTCTGTGTAGATGGCAGTTACAATGTCGAAGACTTTGACAATATGTAACCCATACCTTTGACGAGTGCCATCCAATTGTTAACGAGTGAGGTAGCGGAGCGCAATGTTTTTCAATGTGCTTGAATATTCCACCAACTATACTAAAGACCAAATGTCCACTACGGTGGAAGACTAGTGTATGCAAAGCAATTAACACATTTTCCAATTTGAAAAACATTGTTGTGTTAAATATAATCATTAACACATCCTTAGGTTATAGCCTAACCTTCGTTATCTTGCCGTTCTCGGAAAGGCTAATCTGCATTTTATTGAATGTGTTAATGACAAGTCAAAATTTTTACAAACTATCTTATGTGTAAAGCACCGACAACACCCAATAGATTTAATTTTTTCATATATTTACGTGTCATTGCGATTGTTTAATGAGACTACTCATAAGTTTGTTTTATCCTAGCTTCTGTATTATGTTTATACCCCTATAAATGTATAATAATATTGCACTGTTCACTGTGATAGAAATAATCTTTCTGACCAGCATTTATGAATGCTAATTAAAAATTTAAAACGATGGCATTCTTAACTAATTTTCATACAGTTGGGTGTTGTTAGGGCACACATTCACTGCCAAGTATGCAAGCATCAGCAAGAATTGAACAGCGGAAAAAGTGGAATTAAAGACTTGGCTGGAACGTGGTTGCGTGTCCTTCGGGGCCTCGACTCCTACAAATAATGTCAACGACACGCGACTCAAGTAGATATCTCATTCTTAAACTGCTGAAAACTACTCACAAAACTGTAGGCAAGCAAGCGAACCGCAGTAAGTAAATCGGTCGTGGAACACTAGACTTTCCTAAGGAAAACTCGGCCTAATGCCGACAAGCATAAGATTGTTAATCGCAGTTCAGTCACGAAAGCGTGTCATTGACTATTTAGGAAGCTATGGTTTTCGAAAAATGCCTACAAACTTACATTATTTGTTTGGACACATGTCACGCGTCGTCATTCAGAATCTGAGACACACCCTTGCATACAGCTTGGACGCAACGCTTCTTTCATGAATTTGTTTCATTCCGTTCGATACAAGCTTCAGTTCCCTGGCAAGACTTAAACCACTCTTTTATACAGGGTTAATTTTTGTTAATTTGTAAACACGGAATGAAATTTTCTACTAAACTACTATTATAGTCTTTACACCCGGTTACAAAAATTCACTCTGTATCGCTTGACTGTGAATAAGTCTGTAGGCAAATTGAATAACGATCTAGCAGCCTTCGGAATGCTTGTAGCAATTAAATAAAAAAATACGAAATGCCACGAGACGATGTAAGCGTTATTTAGGAATTTGAAGACACATGCTTTTTATTGTGTATGTTATATTTACAGAGGCTCTCAAAATGCTCAAAATGTAGAGAAGGACAGTTTGTTCTTAATTTGTCCATCTCAAAAATGGCAGCGCAAGGAGAAATAGCATGGTTTGTGTAATATTAGCCCTTGATGAACTCAAATATACAATTGGTATATTATTGTTGTCGTAATATTAAGCTGTTATTGTGTATTTTTATTTATTTATATTAAACTTATTATTGTAGTCCTCCTTGGCTTTAACACGGCTGCTAGATGTAGTCTCATAAAACTGGCCAAATTCATATATAAACGTATAGACATGAACATGAAATAGGAGTATTTTTAACTTCCTTCGAATTTAATACATTTTGTTTCAACAAATGTGTCACATTACATACAAATTCATAGAACTTTAAACAAAACATATTGTTGTGTTTATTATGGTCTGGATTAAGTAGATACAATATAGTAACATCGTTTTAATAGGTATATCATATAAGTTTTCGTCGTGTTTTGATCGGTGAGTGACTCAAACGAGCTTAATCGATTCTACTGCTAACACAATTGGGTACCACCAAGACTGAAAGAGTTAATCAAAAATAAATTATTTCGATTGTTCAATACAATGAAATATATAAAAATAATCACATTTACGTTAATTGATTTTATGAACGACTTAATTTTAGTATGTTTCCAGCAATTTGTTGAGAAATAAGTATGCTGTTTGACGCTAAAAAAACGTGACGTCACAATTCACAATCTCGTACAAATTTCATAGAAGACTGTCGTTTTTGACAGTTCGAACAAAAAGTATTGAATTTGACTAGTCGGCAAGTACGTAATTGTATTTCACTATAGCCTTATTGTATCAAGATATTAAATGAGAAAAACGATGAATGTGGCCAGTTAAAAGAAAACCATAGCTTCAAAATATCTTAGTTGTATCAAAGTGGACTATCAAGCTATTCTAGTCACACGTCCAAACAGAGACTTGTAAATCGATTTACAAACATTTATTCCGAAATTGATCACAACTGGTCTATTCAACAATATTTTTTTAACATTAATTATTGACCAAAGGTACAAATCAATAAAAATCTAATATATTACGCGTTCTGGATTCCTATTAGTATCCCAGTGGGTCATAATAACCCGAACTTACCCGGTAACAAAATTATTTAGGAAATGGATTAACATTGAAATTGGTTTAATTGAAACATTTTGCATCAAATTATTGTTATTACGCGTCAAACTCTCACTAGAGATAGGTGTTAGTAGAGATTTGCCTTCATAGTTTATTGTCGCTCTTAACTCGTTGGGTACCGTCATTATAGACACAATTATAGAACAATAGGTTGCGGTCACCGGTGACCGCTTGGTGTTTGACAGTTTAAAATAGTTTTTTAATTATTAGGTCACATTTAAACATTAAGTTTAATAAGTATTTTGTTAATTTCAGCGTGTATTTCGAGTTTCAAGTCTCTGTTCGGGAATGCTCTTGCTATTTAGCTATATCTAGATAGACAGCCGGGCGCGGCGCTTGTGTAGTGCTGTGTAACATGTGATGCGGCTTCATGGACTAGAAAAGTAGAAATATACATTTAAATATGTTCAGGAGACCATTTAAGTAGGTTTTATCGAATAGTAAGGAATAATGACAGCATCGTAGTAAGTGTAGTGTCGGTAGAATAGAACGCTTTCGTCAACACTCGTATTCTTTCCACGAATGTCGGTAAAACTCGTTAAGGAACCGGTCAACAGCGCCGTTTGATAAATCAGAATTTTTAGACTGCCAAATCCAACCTGCCTGCCAAGGGCGGGCATTTAGAACAATTTGTGGTAACGTTTTTATGGAATAGGAGGCAATCGAGCAAACGGATCACCTGATGGTAAGCAATCAGTGCCGCCCATGGACACCGCAATACCAGAGGGGTCACAGGTGCGTTGCCGGCCCTTTAAAAAGGAATACGCTCTTTTCTTGAAGGTTTAAAATTTAGAACCGTTGACACCCAACGTTTTCTAGAGAATATATTGTTATGTGCATCCCCATTCCTTTTTTGTTTAATATAGTAGTTGGGACCGCAAACAATATCTAATAATAATATATTATAATAAGTAATTTATTAAGGAAAAGCCTTTATTAATGAATTGGTCGGTCACCATTTAACGTAATTTTTGTATAAAGGCATGAGGAAAATTTTGTATTATATCATTGCAATGCGTCCATTTCATAACAATGTTTGTTACACGCGTAATGTAAGAGGTCTCATTTTTATTTCAAATATTGCTTGCGTTTACAAACACGTAATTTTGCATGCATATCACACCCAGACTCGGTGCAGTAATTTATTGTTCACACAAACAATGAGTACCTAAGTGAAATAAAATTTGTTTCGACTTTCCAACACAATACTAGGTGTTAATTAAAAAAGTAATCACACTTTCATTAACTGATTTTATGATGTAACAATATCGTATTTTCAATAAATAAGTAGGTACCTAATGTTTGACGCGTGACGTCACAACATACAACTTCGTATAATATAATTTACTTTCGACAGTTGAAAGAAGTATTGGATTTTACTAAGTAGTTGTCAAGTACCAACACAATTGTTCCGTGCGGATACGGACCCACGACCGATCGTGCACTCAGATAATATAAATATCTCAATATTTTCATTATAAAGACGATGCTGTCATTTGTTTTGTCTTGCTCTCCTCATTTATGTAAATCATCCAAGTCCTTTTGTACTGGGTTATTGAAAATCTAAGGTGGCCATTCCATCACATGTTTAAGCACTGCAGTATATGTAGATTTGTGTGTGTGTGTATTAAGTTGATACTTCATAATATCAAGGAATTGTAATTAATGGCTTATCCATTACTTACTGTCCTAGCGATAGCAGATTCATTATTATTTCTAGACCCTCTAAGGCCGTTGATTTAAATTCGAATAAATATTTTTATTGCAATGTTCTGCGTACTATACTTTAAAAAATACCTACAACAATGTTGTTTTTCAATTACAGTAACTATTCTGCTATTGAACATGTTTAATGCTAACAAGTCTAGATTTCATGTGAGTACCTAATGATCACGGAAAAGGAAAATGGCGGCATCACGATACATTACGATGATAGCGCAATTTCAAGTGTGCGGAACTAAATTGCCATCAATTGCTTTACTAGTGTATTGCAGTAAATTATTTTATGGTCAATTGTGTTGTTTTATGTATACCTAGGGAACTTCCAGACTGTACTGGATCTCACATAACCCATCCTACACACAAAGTAAAGACCTATTTGTAGAAGGCGTTAGTATTTAAAGTGTTAGTAGTGTTAGTGTCACCGCCACCTAAGTATTAATTGTCAAGTGTTAGGTCAGCGCCGCGCCGGGGTGCCCAGTCACACGCTATCAACTAGTCGTATATCTCGGTAGAATAAGTCGACTGACATGATTCAGGAAATGGCTGCTCTTGGTTGCCCATCCAATCTGCATAACGCCTGGAGTGATGATCAAGCATTCATAATACCAAACGCCGCTGTTCACCTGCAAGACATTTCACAAAACATTATTATCAAGGTAAAGGGCAATATATACTTTTCTTATTTTCATTATACAAGTTAAATAGCGCCAGCGAGTATATGAATCAAAGCAGGCTACAGTTCCACTCAATCGGTAAATAGCAGAAAAATCACATCACATCATTCCCCGGAGGACGTCGACAGTGTACTTAGTAACAGTAGACGCGTTCCGCAGTTACGTTACTAGAAGTAATTATAATAGAGGGGGATATCTATTGCGGAACTCAACTTGTGTAGGGGAAAAATCCTCTTAACGTACAACAATTTAAGCAACCTTTTTTGAATAAGTAGCGAGAACAATACCGAACTTTGGAAGGTTTCGGTATAACTCTTGTTTCGTTTCTTACCGGGAAGGTGCAGCGGACACTCTCAAACGAGTAGGAATCACAACGGGCCTCCAGTCCATCGCTGGATATCTTCAAGTATTCGCTGACATCCTGGGTGTTCATGAGGGCATGAATCTTTGACATGTCTACAGTCTGGTAACTTAGACAACGCCCTTCCACGGTAACTGGAAACAAGCGTCGGTGGTTTTAATATAAGTGTAAAATTTAATCTCGTTTTACGCAGTGGTGAAATTCCCGTGTAATCACCATTTCGAAAGATTAGTAAATCATATGACAGTATACTTGTTTGATGCAGAGGCCCCAAAATAACGCTACACTCTTACGGAAGGGCAAAAACTTGCATCGAAAGATCGAGATCTATTTTAGTATTTCAATGCACGAAAGATTTTAAAAAATCTCGCTATGATTTCCGAAGATTAAAAAAATCCACCAACGTAACGTGTAACGAGTTACAATGACGAAATAAAGCTTACAGCTTTTGATAAAACCTAAGTCGTAACTTTAAATCGTAAAAAAGTATTAAGACAAACAAAAAATTTTAACATAATTTATAGAATTGATTTCCATCAACCGTCCTGCGAGGGTTTCAGCTTATTTCCAAAGAGGAGGTTGGTTTACGCGGCCTAGTTATTTTATAAATATAAGCCTAGTTACAATTTCGAAGTGCTTTTGAATAAAATAGCCTTTGTGTAAAATCGAAACAATGCAAGGGTCGGGAAGTTTGAACCGTGAATCCTTACAAATGCATTTACCTTACGCAAACGGTCTGTTGCTATAGAGACGTTTCTTTTTATTTCAAAGTTGAGCAATTCGAGATTTTTCAGAGAATTGTTTTTGTGAATTGTTGGTGAAACCGCCCAATAATGTTAGCTGTAGAATTGCGAAAACACAATATACCGCCTACGAGGTTAAAAGTGGTCTTAATATCCAACAGCCGAACTAAGTTGAAAGTACTAGTATTAAAGCCTGATTAAAAGAAACGCATTCCTATTTTCATGTCTTGAATCCTCACGATGATGCTCCGCACCCTTCGACCAGCTACGAAAGATGTGGCGCGTTACTTACACAGATTGTCGAGTGCCCATTTGGCACAGAATCCGACCTGGCGCCAGGTATAGTCCTGACTGTTCGCGTGACGCTCAAGAAGCAGCAGAGGATTGTCATCCTCCTTGTTGAGGCGCTCCTTTATAGTCAACTTGTTCTCAGTTGTATGAGCAAACTTTTCAAGCGCTATCAGAGCGAACAGGACAATCCGCGGCTCACGACGGAACATCTGTAAAGTAACACTTTACATTATTTACTTACATTTCCTACTAGAAACAATTTTTAAATCACTTTGAAATAAAACATCACATCTTTTAATTTCACCTCAATATTTTACCTATACATGGACTATTTTTATAAAAAATATTTATTTGTTTGTTGAAACGTTGGAGTCGACGTGTCGTGAAAAATCCACGAGACAACGAGCAAAGAGGATTTTTGTATTTTTATATAAGGCCGAAGGTCAAACTAAATCTCGTTTAATTTTAAGGGACACTGTTCATAAACACTCTGTTCCATCCAATTGATCCATGTTAATTAAGTTGTTAGAATTAAAGCCTACCTACGTGGTCTGTACCTGCTTGCATTATTGTACCCTATTATGGATTTGTGACGAGTTCGAAATTACAAGCCTGTACTACCATGACCGCTCGGAGTTTAAAATTACTTACTGCATAAATACGTAGATCAGTAATTGCATGCAGTTGCTTTTAAATTTTCTGAAACACTATTTATACACAACTATTTTTTTCATTGTCCCATTTGCCTTCTATTATTTGTGCTTTTTCCAAAGGCACACACTGGTGTAGAATTCATGTCAGTATTTACTTACATTATGATATTAACTATATTTGATCACGGTCTCAAAAATTACCTAAGTAAGGACAATGCCAACCATGATTACAATTTTAATGTCAGTTGTCTGATTACAATATTGCCAAACGTAAGATATAAATAATTATAAGCAATAAATTACAGTTTTATCGCAACACAAAAACCTATTTACTGTTCCTAGAGTCATGTGATCAAAGCTAGCATGGCACCTACTTACCTACTTGAGGGTGTAATAGGTCTAAAGTAAACTTTAAAAGAGTAATCTCGTAGAGCAATCAATACCTGCAATCGTACCTAGAGTTGACGTGAAACCAAGTTTGCTCCCATAAATTGAAGGCCAAGATCGAACAGATTGCATCCTATTCAAGAGGAGTTCCTATTCAAAAGGAAGCAGTCCTTGAAGTCGGCATTACGTAGCATATTCATGGAATGACGACAGACGAAAGGCTTCGCGATCTCTACCTAATCCCTAATCTATACACTGATTCTATACCCATTGTTCAGCGCAGCTCGATACGGAAAAGAAGCTTAAATTTTCATTTTAAAGTCACTTATTTTAAATTAAAACTGTTCTATGTAAGTAGCCTATTCTTTGAAGAATGATCTCTTTCAAAGCTACTGTAAAATTGTTACTGCTTTAATCAGTTTCAGAATATGGATCGAGAAAATCTTAGTGACCGCCGAAGTTCGGATTAAAACCTGGTATAATCATAATATACTTGGATTCATTGCCTATCCCTTCGGGGATAAAATGCGTGATGTTATGTTATGTCATTACACTGAATAAAACACATAGAAGAGAAGAATAAGTGTGCTTAACACGAAATAGATAAACAATGAACAAATCCATTCTCTTCATACAAAAACTCTTGTCACTTCAATTTTATATTAACTAAATTGGATACGTCTCGAGTACTTAGGTTGCGTTGATTATTTTCCTTGCAACTGAAATTGACACCGAAGGTAACAAGATTCGATGTAACGTCAGGTCAATGTAGAACAGATGCGTTCCGAACTTCACAGCCCATTAAATACAAAATTACAACGCTATCACACTATCGTACTCTTACACCCGTTTTCACTTACCTCTCCTTAAAGAAACCTCTAAGCGAAGATAGATGAAACTTAAAGTAATTTTTGTTTTCATCGACCTATTATTGACACCAAAGAGCACAAGTAAGGGTTTATATTGGGTGCTACGTCACACTAAGTGACTTTTCGTTAAGTTCAAGATTGGTAAAAACGGCCATTGGATGTCCAAATGGCCTTATGCCATCAATTAGGTGCTCAGTATGTCAAAAAAGGTCAGCAATGGCCACTTATACGCTGTTGATGTGATGTGATGTCAAAAATTAAACTTGAATGCCGATTCAAAGCATACGCTTCGATAGAGAAATATTGTTAATCTTTCTGTAAATAAATACATCAAAGTGACGTCACTTTAGTTTTGACGGAGGTACACGCAGTTTGATCGTGTTCAGTTACTTGAACAAATATCGTAACACACAAAACAGAAAGTTTATGAACAAGATTGACCGTGTCATACTATTGTCGAATCCTTAGTTACGCAAGTCTCATATTATCTTAAAGGTTTGTTGTAAAAAATGCTTTAAATTTTATCAATTAGTAGCAACCGCTCATCAAGTAAAGTGGTTAGATGAAATGTTATGTCAATAATGCTCCAATTAAATCCACGTATGTATGTTATTACTCGATAAATATGCTAATGCATCGGATTTAGCAGGCGTAATATTTCCAGCAATCTGCTAATGTACAGTTTGACCACTGGATCGCTCCCACTTAAATTAATTATAATATCATTTTATCTATCCATCTGCATTTATCTAATAGCGAGCTTATTAAGTGATGATATTTATTTATTAATTAATGTAATAACATAGAGTTTGGAATTTGCGCATCAGTGGGTGGAATTTATTCTAACCATAATTATTGTTTTATTGTAATAATACCTACTGAACGAAACTTTACTCATTGACGGTCGTGTCAGCATAATCACGAAGAAAAAGTTTCTGCGGTAAGCACGAATATATTTTCGTAACTGCATTTAGGTCACCTGAAAAGTGTCACTTACCAAGAATGATAACATGTAATCAAGGGTTTCTTCGGTCAGCACGGCAACGCTGTTGGGGCCGGCTAACTTGTCAGCAATACACCCGAGCACAACACATATGTTGCGCTCTACTTGCACGTCTATCTCGGCTGAGAGGGCGCGCATGGCAGACAAGCCGAGTATTTGAGTAAGCTGAAATTAATACATAATCTATACACTATGTCGCGGAGAACCTAACGGGGATCCGGCTCGACGTGCAGGAGAAGGAACGGGGTGGTTTTTAGTCAGTAAGAGTCTGACACTCCCTCCCGCCTCACCCAGGCGGGAGCAGATATTCCATGATAATCCGCCCTTAAAAAAAATGTATACACCATAACTTACACAAAATCTTGCAGATCGAGGACTGTGAAATTCATCTGGATCCATATTGCACGAGGCGACATTTTTAAAACGGGAAGCTATCCCTTTGTGATTCTACTATTTGTAACATAAAATGCATCTTCTGAATGTTGTCTGCACAGGCAACACAACCTTGTCCCAATTTTAAAATCATAATTGGATGAAGACCCAATATGAAACCACTCCATATCCTTTTTACTGGATTGACATTTATAAAACCGATTTCCTCTCGCTATAGCGAACCTTGCACGTGGACGTCAAATGCAATGCAATCGTCATTTTATTTTTGTAAATCGTATTGAAAGAGGCACGGAGCACGTAACACGATTTTCGATTCATATCTTTGATTTTTAATTTCAGTGAGACTGGAATTGGGTTCTCAAACATTGAAAAGTTTTGTTTTAGGAAACTGACAGTTTTATAATTGGAAATCCAGTTAGTGTTAGTGCACAGTGCACGAGTGCACGTACTGTTATTTTTTTATTTGGATCGGATTGGAAGTTTGCACAAGCAAAAGTTCCCAATGAAGTACATAACATGGTCCGGCAAAAAGGTTTATGCGCAGTTGTCGCTGACTGTTTCACTAACGTTTGAAACATAGTCCAGAAACTGCAACTAAACATTTTGTAAGCTTGTTTCTAGTTTTAATTAAAATGTCCTATTCCACGTATTTGTCGTTCTCGTAGTTTCCCCTTTGAAAATTCAACTTGAAGAACGGGTAGTTATGTGAAACGTAGGTGGACGCAATCAATAAGCGTCCAGTACATATAGCCGAGCATTATGCACAACATTTTGCAACACATTCTCGTAGTTAAGTCTGTAAGACCCTTGTGCGCTACGTTTAATTCCACGAACATTTTACGAGTTTTACAAGAGGCGTGATCAGTTTTTCTATTAAATGCATACGATGAACATATTATTGTAAAATACCGAAGTAGAGACTTCGTAGATAATTTTAAGCAAACCTGGAAAAATAAGTCGTTACTTACCTTGATAACTTGCTCTTTGGAAGGCAGAGGGCAGTCATCAAAGACGATGGTGATGGCGGATGGTCCCAGAGGATTATCGAGTGGTATAATCCTAACCATTGAGGACACCACTTGGAACCATCCTTCCTCCTTTTCCGCAATGACGTGGAGCTTCACCAAGGAGACGGGGGACTCCTCTTCACTGTAACAAATACACATTTACAGCGTTCAAGTACCTAAGGTATTCGTGGATTCAGTTTAGCCACTGTACACAAAAACAGTTCCGTGCGGGAATCAAATCCTACCAACGTCGTCACACCTCGCACAGCATTCGATTACACACCCACTGCATCAAATAAATAAACGTAATAGAACCCCACATTCAACGAGTCTTATCTATTTAAAACGGTGTGAACCTACTATATATACATGTGACCCGCTCCGGCTTCGCACGAGTGCAATATGCATGTATTATATGTACATATAAACCTTCCTTAAGAATCATTCTGTCTATTAAAAAAAACCGCATCAAAATCCGTTCCATAGTTTCAAAGACCTAAGCATCTATGTATATAGGGACAGACGGCGGGTAGCGACTTTGTTTTAGACTATGTAGTGATGCTTGTGACACCGACAAGCTACAATACTTTGTCCAACCCGAGAATCAAACCCAAATCTAAGCTCAGCGACTTCTGCAACCGCAGTTTAATTGCTACGAAGCATACAATTACGTTACAACATTCCTACATAAGACCCGACACTGACACGTTTCAAATTATGCCTTGGTCAGCTTATGCGAGCCTCGCTAGCAAATGTCATACATATCAACACTCGGGCAAATTCTCAGGCGAAGTTTATAACACGAATCAACGCAACTTTGAACATATGTAGTTAGGACGAACATAATATGGATGTCCACTTAAATTGATAAGTGAAGTTGAAGGAATTAATGCGCGGACAAAATGTTTAAGCGAACATTAGGTTGTTTGAAGTTTTTATATTTCTTTTTACAACAATGTACCTATACTAAAGTCGTGCACACTGTACCACGGACATAGCACGGCTACGGCATATCGTATTTGGTTTGGAAAAGCCAATGGCGGCCTGTACATAAGCCCGCGAATGAGGTATGTGAGGGAATGAACCTCCTCACGCCACAACTGTTCCGAGAGGCACTCCGGGCGTCGGAGATCGCAAGACGATCTCCGACCACCGTAAGCACGGGGCTGCGGACGGCGACCAATGGTAGCTCGTCACTCAACTAGAACTACACTAGAGTGTATGGTGCCGCGGAAGACTTAATGAGTGGCCAGGGCTGCGGCTCGAATCAGAGGTAAGAACGCGGTGGTTTTTAGTTAGTTAGAGTCTGACACTCCCTCTCGTCTCAGCCAAGGCAGGCGTACGGATCTTTAAAAAAACTTTGCTTATAATATTCTTCTTCGCCGTATGCGCAAATGTCAGTGGGGTCTAAATAATCTTAGAAAGTCCATATAACTATCAAAAATTCACATTGGTACTTGTCAGGTTCAAACTCGAACACGTATGTATGAGGGCGCCTTAACCTCCGCGCCGCAATTTACCAAGTGCAAATTCTGACTGCTGCGAACAGACGCCCGAGAACGCCCCAATCACCGCCATCAATTTAAGCCAGAATAGCTCCAAACAGTTGTTACAGAACGCTCGAGTAAGCGTTATCCAGATTGCTTCGTAATATAAGTTTTTTTTTATGCTATCAAATAGGCTAAATGTGGAATAAAATATGAAAGAAAGAGCGAGCGATCATGATGCTCTTTCTGCAACTCCGTAATCCACGGACAGTCGCGTCACTAGTAGATTCAAATGTAATACAGACGGGACTACAACTGTTTCCGTCCAATTGTTGCGCATTTCCAGTCGATTGACGCGATATGTGTTGACAATGCATTTCCTAACACTGATTATGTAATCTAACCACTAAGCCGTCATCTATAACAATTTTGATATTACTGATATGTACAGCATCAACATAATTATACTATCTACGGATTTGCAGGGAAGCGCATCATTACGTTGAAACTGAATATTATTGTTCGTATTGGCTACACTGTTCTAGGTAATGGTAAACACAACAACAGTGTCATGTTTCCAGAGGCGATCAATACAACGCAGCGCAGCCTCGATGAATTCTTGGAAGTTGTTTATCAACGTTTCAGGGAAAACAGAGACCACCACACCAGTACAGCTTCAGGCCACATGAGTACGTAAGTGAAACGAAGGCTGACTTCGTACGACCGCGCGAATCGGTTGCAATCCTGCAAGCAAGGAGTATGCGCGCTCGCCGATCGTTCGTCGCGCACGCGGCGATACTGAAAAGACTAGCTGCCAGTAAACAATGACGGCACGCTTGGAACAGAACTGGGCGCTGATGGGCAACATATCGCAGGTTCGATTCGCGCATGCAACAATTTGAGGTTTGAGTGCGACATATGTGTAAAATTATGTATCTACTTGTAAAGGCAATTACGACTCACGAGTTCACGACGCAAGAAAAAAACTTGAGTGAGGGTCGTCATGGCACGTGACGCTTGCACAATACGGATTAGAAATCAAACCTAAAATCTGAAATATTAAGTCAGGATTTCCTCACGATCTTGTGTACTTTAGTCAGAAGCGCTTAAACAAATTTGGAAAGTTCGTGAACATTGAAAAAGCCACATTGGTTTCGAACCCGCACCCCCGGCATGACTGACAAGCATGTATCTTATCTAGCACGCATCTAAATAAGTTTAAATTGTTTTAACTCTTAATCCGTCACGGCAGCCCTAGCAAAATATAAAATAATAATATAACACAGTATTTATTAATTAGCAGATATTTCTCACAAAGCTTTGTAAAATTATCTGCTAATAAATACTGTTTATAAGTATAGCATGGCTCCTCATATACGAGAACTAATTACCACTGAGACTGTATCATATATCGATACAACTTCCGAAGGATGCTCGTAATTAGTTTCGAGAGAAAATAAAAAAACATACAAGTTTTATTACGTTACAAACAAGGGAATATACTTTTGCTCCTAATTAAAAGACATCGGATGTCGTTTAAAAAAACATACTCGAGTGATAACTAGGACTCACGAGTTAGCGACCATGAAATTTTACAAAAGCTTCACTGAAACACAAATTACTATGAAGTCCAAACTCGTCGAAACCGTTTCAAGGGAGACTTTATTTATACAGAACTTTTCAAAAAGCTCTTAGTCCTAATGTACCGTGTGCTATTCAGCTTAACATTCTTTCAATGCCCTATTGTTAGGAGACTCGGTGACAGACTGCTAAATGGACAGACGCCCTTCATTTACTCCTATTATTTCATAAACAAGCATTATGTTTCACAGTGCTTTTAAACCTTATTATCTAGACTTGATGTGTTTCTCTACCCTTTCATCTAACCTTGAAAACTACTCAAGTTCATAAACAATAAGTTCAGAAACAATGAGGTATACAAACAAGCAGAAATTCAATTACCCCACTATTTGAGCCCGTCCTGTGTCAAAGCGCTTTGATTTTTACAGGAAACATTTTTAAAGCTCTGTTTTGTTAGTGTTATTGCAACACAAAGAAAATGCAATTTTCCTACCACCGATTCTATGTAAATACCGTTAATTGAAAATGCATTTCTTTGCTTTTGTTTTGCTGTTTTCCATTTAAGAATATACATTTCTGTCGCTCACGGAAGCGTTTTGTCCTTGATCGAACTCTCTTTGTACAACTGATTTATTTACCATTTTTATCAGGAACATTTCCATCTCAAAAGTGTTTCGCTAACACGGCTCCTTTGCAATTATTATAAATCAAATGAAAATATGTACTAATTGGGATATAACCAAAAAGCACCAGCATGGCAGCAGCCAGTAATGACACAACGAGACAGTTGATAAAGTTCAACAAAATAAAGAAGAAATATTGTATTTGGAATAAAAATGTGGGCGTATTCGTAAAGTAAGATAATTATGTACGTATATGGTGGTATGGGCATAAAATGACCATCGAGGACATCCATTGCGCTGATTCCGTTAATCCTTATTCCATTATTCACTCAGTATATTTCAATCAAACACACATACTAACCTATTTTGCATACCAACCCATTGGTGTAAGTGAATATGTATGTTGCTCGACAAACATAATATAGATAAAAAGCGTTCCATTTTTACTGGACACGTGTGTCTTGTGTACTGTGTACTAATACTTGGGCCTTAGATACCGGTGTTCATCATATTCGAATACATGTCTCTACAATGTGTTGCTATTATTACTTTAGATTAAAGCATACCACGAAATATAATTATGATTTCAGTGTCAACTGTAAATTTATTTTACAAACCCCGAACCAATTTTATACATGTCGTGCGGTCGGCGGTTAACGTCGGCGGTGGTCAGTAGCCGTCGGTTACAAATGGCGAGACCGTGATGAAATGTTTAAACGTATTAAATTATTATAAATAAGTTCCATGAATAACGTATCCCACCCCTTCTATTGTTTGAGGAGGTAAACAGGTAGTAACAGTACGCCCACTTGCTCTATGTACCGAAGAAGGGCGAGGCTTTTGTCATAGGTACATCGAGTATGAACAGACATTCGTTTTATTGTTGCTAAAAAATAGAAACAAAATACTATACAATCCTGGGCAATTTTGGGTTTTTGCGTTTCTGGGGCTCTGAGTACGCGTAATGACTGCCGTACATCTCATTGGGCGCTCTTCCTGAAATAGCCGTTAAGTCATTTATTGCTTTTCGTCACTTTTTGAAAATCGGCCTATTCAAAAAGTAAAGGAAGGAAGAATTGAGATCCGCAGTTGTTCACATAACCACTAAACCGAGACAGTGATTTATCGAATATTAATTTACACAAAGGCGTATAAATATTTATTAATGACAGCCACCCACGAGTGTTTAATCCGAAAGACCTTTCGCCCGCTGCCTACACCGTCGTCTCTAAGAAAATATTTTCGAATATCACATATTTTTGTGGCCGTCGTTCCACGAAAATCCACATTTACCATCGCCTCAAGCTGTAAATGTTGTTATGATATCTTGTATCACATATCCTCAATAACAATTATTTTCTTGAATTTCAAAACAAGACAAATATAACCACTTAGATGTTGATTGTTAGCGACTGCCTTCTGATCGATACGAGTCTATTCAATCATTTAAACGGTAGTCGATTGAATTTATTAATGAAGTGCTGCATATAGGTTTTCCTCGTAACTCCAGCAGTTCTTTTCTTTAGTATTTCCACTGGTACATTTGTAATCGATTACACCTTGTATTTTCATGTAATAATAAGCTTCTAAAAAAGCTATGTTAGGTATATCAGTGATTACAATTTGGTCCAAGGTTTAGATCCAGCAAAGTATTTTGTAAGTTTTCTCATTATGGGGCATACATAGGTAATGCCTAAGTAGTCTTGACCTTCAATTGACAACGTAATGTGATATAATAGGTCTGCCTTATTGGAATGATATTTCAAGAAAAATAGGCGCTTAATTATCTATAATTCAGAAAACCTATAAAGAAGCAAACAAGCCATTTATCTAAGTAAACATAAGATTTTTTGAAACTTTCTAGAAACGTGAAGTTAATGTGGGAAGGTTTCGTATTACTAAATGAACGCAGCCAGTCAAGTTGAACATTACGTCAAACTCCCCTATATTACCTATCTACAGAGAGAGTGGGTTTTGCTTTGAAATTGTTAGGATCAAGACAAAGACTAACTATCTAGATAATATCCTGGAGTAACAAGTTCGGTAGTTAAAGTGGCTAGTGCAGCGGATATGCAATATCGGACCGACCACCCGAGTTACTACAGTGTCATACAATATTCAATACTAGTTGCTGAAGGTCCAGTGGCTATGTAGTTCACTAATACAATTAAATCAAGAACAAGCAGATACTAGGAAGCATCGAGGTAGCCACAGCCAGGATAGCTCGAAGTGGCTAACTGAAATGGCCTTGCTTGTGGGCAGCACAGAGAGTTTACGGGACCGGCAAGTTATCGAGAATCGGTTTGTATATTGGAAACGCTGCGGGAAAGGGCCCAAGGATACAAGTACCAGCCACAAGAATTGTTGCTTGCAAACTATACCTCTACTCGTTAAGAAATACATAGATTTTCTAATCATTTTCATTTTTTGCATAAAGGAGCCCTGAGTGAATTTTTATGCAGAGCCAACCATTCAGAAAAATGGCTCACACTACTAAACGTATTTTTATTGTTTAGTCGAAATAGCAACTTAATTATATTTATTTATTTTTTACATTTTCTATTTACATAAACCTGTCTCATTTTGCGTGGTGTTTGCTAAAAAGAGTGCCTTGATTAGAAAGTATGGATAGCTATAAATCTTTTCGCAATGCATATGTTTACGAGAACAAAGGCAAATTAAAACAACAACAGCCCTGTTGTTGCTCAGTATGGCATCACTAACATTTAAAAAAGTACAAAAAACTAAGTGCCCTACATACACTTCATATTTACGGATTTCCGTAAGAATTGCGGTCTTAAACTTAAAAGTAAAGCGATGATTTACGAAAAGGAAACCTTACAACGAACATCGCTCCGCTACTTAGGTACCTACATTTGATGACATTTTTGTTATTATTTTGTAGCTATGTCTAGTGTAAGTATACACCTGTTTTGATTCTAGAAGTATACCTACAAAATATTACTATAATATTACTCTGCTACTAATAATGTGGCCTGGTTTGTTTTGCGGGGCGACGTTACTAAGTATTACACGTTCTAAGGTGAAAAAGTAGTTATTGCGACACATTGGACATTATGTATTATGATATCGCGGACTTTTCCATATTGTCCCAAGCACTAATTTTATTTTGTGTATTTTCAACTATCTTGGTTCGGCTAGTTAAACCTATAAACGGTTTAGCTGCTTTATTTTTAATATTGAATTTTGTATCCTATAATAGGGCTGACATTTTCCTCTACGGAAAAAAGCTCTTCTTATAAAAGTCAGATTTAAAAAAAAAAACTATCTTGGTTCACAACACAATCACAAAAAATTAAGAAGCGTAATAAATAACTCGCATTATTATTGTTACAATAGTGATGCAACAAAGTGATTCTGATCAGATACCTACATCCTTGTAGCTACCCCTATAGAATGATGTTGCTACTTGCGTCGATATAACTTTCGTTATTTATATTGTTCTTTAAAAATATATTCGTATTTCGTATGTAGGTACTCCAATTAGGCCACGCATATCTGAATTTATGCAATCTCTGATATTTATTACGGGAACACAAAAGTATTCGACGAAATCCATACGTATATATAAAACGTATGTGTGCTGCAATTCAGAACGAAATCAACGGAATGGATAATTAATTATCATTGTGTCCGCTATTTCCAGGAAAAGTTTATTTTACAATAAACTTCGGGATAATATTTGTGCGAAACCAGGTCAGGTCACTTAGTTTTACATACTTTATTATTATTTTATCGATGTGACATTTGCTATTATTGGTTGAAGGACAATGTGTAATGAAAATCCCAGAACGAAATAGTTATCACTCGTGAGACGTATTTTTCTAAAACACCTGATAAATTATCATTCAAATGACAACAAATCCACATGATAAACAATATTCACTCGAAGGAAAGATGGTCCTATTTAGGTCGTACTGTAAAAAGTTTTACACGTGCAGTTTGTGTACTGGAAATTCTCAAACCTAGAACGAGGTTTCCGCATTAAATATAATAGAGAGTTAAGGACGCAGGAGCGGGTTCTCCGCAACAGAAGCGCATCAAGGTCTTTTTATCTTTATTTTTTAAAGGGCGTTTTTCAGTATGCGGGAGCCACGCTTCGGCACTTTGGCTGAAGTAATATCACGACCTCGCAGAAAACCGGCGTGATGCCGATACCGTGATACCGAATGATAAAAAAGCTAGGGAAATACGTGATTGCTTATAAAAAGCAATCATATAATTCTTGTTAAGTTGCAATAGTTCAATTCAAATTATGAAAATAAATGCATCAAACATGTTTGCTGACCGATCTTATTGCAAAATCGTGTTTTGACGGAAACTCCATGACTTTCACATTTACGGCAAATGTCGAAAAATCAATTCTAATCCAAAGATTTTGGACTAGAAACGTTTATTTTTGACCTTAAATGGGTCCTCGTAGTACAACCTACCATCACCCATGGAATGTAATAGTTAAAACTTAGTTTCTTTGAATATAATATTTACTATTTATTTAAAACCGTGAAGACAAAATTAGTATATAATTAAAAGCCTCCTCCAAGGGGCCTTATAATAAACTACGCCGGATGAAATTTCTAAACTACGTTTGTAACACAATATTGCGTTCATTTTACCAGAGAAAATACCTTCATAGAGCTCATATGTGATGCGCAGATTGTTCATAATGTAAATTGGATGAGAAATAATAGCATCACGGCAAACCAAGGGTTAAAGAAAAACATTTTAATATATATTGCTTGTGAGATATTGCAGAGTAATATGATCTTTTTCCAGCCCATCTCGCACGAATGAAAATTCGAGTATCATTTTAGTAAAATCAAATTTACACACTCAGATTTCCCATGGAGTGGTATTTCCATGGCACCACAGACCTTCAATTACCAACGGGGCTTCTTCATAAGACTCGCAGTCCAAGTAAATTAAGTATACCATTATTTGTAATTTTATAAGACTAGGCAATATTATATATCTTTATTGAACATTGAACGAGTAGTCCTTGACGAAAAATATTATTTGATTTCTATAACCTCCCCGAATACAATGGCTCTAATGAGATAACTAGCGGTGACTGGGTCCATATAGCTACTGTAATGTCAAGTGTTTACCTTATTATGTTATTTCGATATTCAGAATCAGAACTATTCTGAGCATTCCGAATTGGTCATATTTTTAGGCAAAATGGAAGTTAACTTTTAAAACAATTTAATAGGTACTTTGTGACTTTATAAATAAAGCCAGACGGTTTCGATCGCCCTAGATATCAAACGACGGTTTAAAATCTAAAATCTGACGAACGTCTTCAGAGGGAGCGGAACTTGTGACACATTGCGATTGGAGTATAAGAGCGCTCACTGCCGGCATTACACGCCGCAGCGTATCACGGGATTCTGCTGAAAGCTCAGCCAGCCGCCACTCTTCTATGACCGCTGTACAAGTTACAACCTTATTTCACTACTCACCAAGCATAATTACTTGACACAGAGTGACGTAATATATATGCAAAGGAGTGCTGCAGAAACCCATGCAACAAAACGGCGTACCGTGGCATCGTGCTAGCGAAATAAAATAACATGAAATCTAAACTCATTGAAATAAGATTCAAAATAACGTGATCAGTAATAAAATCCTTTGCCATGGGCCATGGCACGCCGTACCGCGCCACAGTGAGCGTCAGGCCTAAGTCGATCACATCGTGTGGCTAGCTAAGTGTATTCAACTGGTGGTTTGTCCGTATGGAGCTCTCAAGACTGTGGCCGAAGTTATTCTACAGGTATTATAAAAGTATATAATAAAAATAATCTACTCCCGCTTCCACCTAGATATAAAAATTATATATTAATCACTTACTTGTCGACGAACGAAGCGATCAACGCAAGTAGCTCCATGATAAGTTCATCGACGATTCTTGGATCGACAACCAACTTAGGAGCCACCACACGGGTCTCAGTTATACCTTGGGTGGTTGAAGGCACCGGGCCTGGAGATGGAACGTAGGGTTCCACAGGACCCGGCTCTTTACTGCAGCAGGACCCCATTATCTACGGACAAAACAATTTTATATATAACACCTAATTGAATAATTCTTAGAAAAAACTGCTTTGACGTGTTAATATTTTTACATCATATAATATTTGTATGTATTCATTTCCAAACATGATATTGTCCTGTATGTTTATAGAAGTTGATTTGATACTTGTACCGCTAGCGCGTTGTACATAAAACCTTTACAGCACGAACGTTTGTATTGGCGTCCGCTTGGGACAAATATCGTTTTGTGATATAAAGAAATCTATATATGTATATTAAAATTAATCCCTATATCCCTTGATCACGCTATCACGCTATCACGCGTGAACGACTGGACCGATTTCACTATTTTTTTTTTGTGTTTGTTGTTGTCAGGACAAGGTTCTCACAAAAGAAAAAAATTAATACATGTATAAATTAAGGTTGGAAATAACACGTATAGACTTCTTTTAATACCACGAGACCGCGGGCAAAGCCGCTAGCAGAAGCTAGTATCTACACAAATAAACTATGAATAGAAAGAATAACATAAAATAAGGGAGAAGAAAAAATTATGGTATTTGTGTGGGAGGAATTTCCAGTAAATAATTTTGGTAGTTAAGATAACGACAATAAGCTGCCTAACTAAAATGACCCTAACTTGAGTTATTTATTTGATTGATTTGCTATAAAAACGTTACCATATTAGTCAATTGTATACAAAATAGAAAAATATCATTCGCAAAATTGATTTAGTTGTAGGCAAGATAAATATAGCTTAATAATACCGACCAATCTTACTTGCTATTATAGCAAAAGTTTGGATCGATTGGATTTTGTCTGATAATTGGACGAAAAGAGGCACAAAGGTTATAGATAGAGGTTAGCACATAGCCTACTTTTTATCGCAGAAAAACATGTTTTTCGCATAATTTCTGATGGCTTAGTAATTTAAAAAGCTTAAAAAGATTTCTAGGTACTTTTATCTCTTGATGTACAGGGCTACAGGTAATATGACGTATTCATGTTACGCACGATATAAGGGATAAACGAGGTCCTGAGTGAGGATTAGACCTTCACTAGCAAAGCAGAAAAACAGAACCTTTTTACCAAATTGAACGTTAAACACTTTCATTCCAATTAATTTTCATGATTCTACCTACCTAATAGTACCTACTCATAAATTTTTTTGCAAAATTTTGTAAGATATGAATTGGATAAAACATTTTAAAAATATCTTTATTTAACTAACTTTTAATAATCGCTTCAGCAAATACCTATCCTAATATATAAGTACATAAAGAGAAATTACAATTCATTTAAGAGGCACTTACGGGAATTTTCACTCGATTCTGTTTACCTAGAATTGACCCTTTGTTTCAATAAAAATAAAAAAATCTGCGGTGAGTTCAGGTTAACATGAGGAATTCTCCGAGAGTGATATTAGGTATATATTTTTACTCTAAAAAAGGTATTTCAATTCCACGAATCAAATCAAATATATTTTTTTATTCATGCCTTTTATTTTACAATTATAGATTAAACTATCGTCCTAGCTATTAAGAAAATCACTGCGAGGACCGCCCGCAGGACACGGTGGATATTACGGTGGCAGTGTGCCCTGCGTGGGCTGAGCACCGCCGATCGCCGTGTCCTCAGAGATGATATCGGCGACGGCAACCTCTCGCGGCCGGCTATGTTTCAGACCATGGTACGGAGTGAGGGGGACTGGGGTGCCATCTCTTCCTTCTGTGAAGCAGTCATGATAGCTAAGGAGGAGACGGGGCGCATGAGGGAAGGAACCTCCACCCGCCCCAGCCGTCGCAAGAGACACTAAGGGCGTCGGGAATCATGAGACGATCTCCGGCCACCGTAAGCACAGGCCTGCGCACGGCGAGCATGAGTAACCCACCGTCCGACCAGAACCAGACCCGAGCGTACGGTGCGTCGCGTTCTGCGTACACCTCAAGGAGCCATCAGACCGCCACTGATGGGGCCCAATAAGGCTGATGCCGATACGGACCCGCGGAGGACATAACGGGTTGTAGGGTTGGTAGGAACGGGGTGGTTTTTTAGTCAGTAAGAGTCTGACACTCCCTCTCACCGCACCCGGACGGGAGAAGTAATTGGGTGATTTTCCCCTCAAAATAAGCAATTAAGCAAGTACATGTAAGTACTTATTTTCTCACGTATTTTGAATGGTCCCGTTATTATCTAAGACCGCTTTAAAAGTAAAATCATGTTTTACAGAGTAGCTGCCTACTACGGGGTAGTCATTAACAAATCGATACTTATATTCAACAACCAACGACTTAAAGTCACTTAAACCATGAAATGTACAACGTATGTCCTAAATAAACAACTCAAAATTCATGCAAGCGGAGCCAAACGCATCCGCCATAATCTTACCTATGCTGAAATCTCATTTGTATAACCTACTTTGACGTGCACACGGCTACAGTGCAAGGTATACAACACCAGCATAAACTGGTCGTCGAATGCGCGGAAAGATCGTACAAGGCTAGACCATGATACACTAGTTTTATATAGTTCGTGTGTACCCGTAAATTCCCTAGTGCGTTTCGTATAGATGAAATTTGTATTACGGACGCAAAGTTTGATGTAAAATGAATTTCTGAATTACGTAATAGCGCAGAGCGTGCACTACAATGTTTGACAGCAAAGCTTCGATATCAGACACACGCTGATCAATTAGCAGCGATCTAGCTAGTCGGATTTTGACACTGATTGTCATATACAGAGATGAAATACACTGCGTAGCTTCGCCAAGTTAGGGATATACAAGCATATTTCCGAAATAACTGAAATATGCATTATTGTTACGGGTGGCATAATCATTAAACTGAATTGTGCGTAGTCCGGTTCCATTTCTAATATCCTGTATGCAAAGAAACTGCCAGCTTAAATAAAACGGTAAGTTTTGTAATACCTCTAATTGTAAGTATCGTTTGAAGTTGTAGATTGTGCTATTATGTATCTACAAAAGTTGCTTTAATTGTTTGTCCTTGAAACTTGCATTTACTGCGAAAAATCGATTCTACTACTCTGTCTCATTATTTATGTATGATTATGTTACAATAGGTAGTTATTGTACACTACTTTTATTCTTATAAATATTTTGTTTTAAAAAGTACGTCACATATCCAAAACAAATTAAAGTTATATTCCACAGTGACTGACAAAAACACGTAGTTTGCGAACGTTGAAGATGCACAATTCTTGCACACATGGGATCTGTTAGTTTCGGAATAAAGAAATCAAGTAAATAGTATCCTATTCTTTAAGATCCTGCAAATATTTAGCCCCTTGGGAAATTATGCAAGGATGTATATCTATTTTGATCGGTTAACGTTCAACGTCATATGAGAAGAGCCTGCGAGCGTAGCCTTCGACCACCAGTGGGAGAGTTAACCGGCTGATATAGATAGATAGACCGATAGATCGCGTTCAGCAATGCGTCGATTTATCCCGATCACCAAGAGGCATACGATACTGACAAGTTTGATCGCGAATGCATTTGATAAGTTATCTGCCTCCGCCTACCCCATCAATACAATACCTGTCGACCCTCGAATACTACCCTGATGGATATTAGAATGATGGTTATGGATTTGTGTTTGCCTTGGTATTGTGGAAACATATACAAGCACTTAGCCGATTTTTATAAACATTGTCATGTTATTGTCCAAAAAGTTAGACAAAGGCGCTTTTTGTTGGTTTTGTTACCATGCCATGTCAACACGGGACTTCGTCTTACGTATAAGAACTTCGGAGTCGAAAAAGATAATAAAAGGGAACAAGAACATCAATTTAATTTTTTTTTTATTTGGAAATTATCTTTTAGAACTGCTGGTCACATAAGAGAATGTTATACATTTACTTTTGTGTGACTTTTCAGTATACCTGTCACATGTAGAACCTATTTTTAAAAAGCAACAACAATCAGTTTCCAGTGGAATATGAAGGTTAGGTGTAGGCTTAAGGTATTGCTACAGGGTTACACGTGCAGTGCCTCGAAGTTCAGCTCGATCGCAGTCTGCCTTGTTGGTTTTGGGTGGATGTGAGAATTCAACTAATGACGGGCCAGAATGCTAACGAGTTCACTTTACACCACAGAGACTCTTAAACAAGCACTGAAAAACACAAGTATGTCTATCTCAATATAACAATAATTGTTCAATCATAGATCGAACAAACCACCTAATGACGACAAAGTTTGATTATGATAAGCCAACCCTTTACTATACAGGGTGCCCAATAAATAGTGCACCATACTGTGAGAAAAGATAGCTGGGATCAATACTTACCTAAACATCCCAGTATATGTTCTTGGAAATTGTATGGTTCCAAATTTATATCACATTTTCGTAAATATCGAAAAATCACTACCTTGACACAAACCTTTTAGCATATCTCAGTTGAAAAGTCTTTTTTTAGTAAGTATTGTACATAAAATTATTCATGGATAAATATTCTATTCAATGGTAAGTTCTTTTTATATTAGGTATTAGAGAGCTTCTAGGAAAAACTACTTTTTGTGTCAATTTTCGTAGAACCATTTTCTTGTCGCTCAACTTCAACTTACAACAATGTATTTGGCAGTTTTGTGCCTCTAACAAGCGTGAAAGCTACCTCGTTTAATGGTGATTTTGGAAAGGTTTAATAATAGTACATTCTCATTCTTGAATATGTTACTAACATAAGGAGAATGCCTAATGATGTATGAAGCAAAAACCCAGAATCGATGAACATAATTTATGTGCGGAAAGGTAGAGTTAATACATAGTATATTCTAATTTAATTATTGTTTCCGATAAAACCGATAACAAGTAATAAGAAATGACCAGATTATCATGAACCCACCTTTAAATGATGTTTCCGTAGATTTAACAGTCAGTTTATACTGAGTTTTAGAACGAAATTGTATCTTGGAAAATCTAGTAGTTTTGGGGGGTTGAAAAGATCAGACAAATGGACTACAAAGATGACGAAGTCCACTGTCCATTCAGTG